TTTAACCATCTAATCATAACATAAACTAAGAACCGATCAATTTAACCATCTATTCATAACACAAACTAAGAACCGATCAATTTAATCATCTAATCATAACACAAACTAAGAACCGATCAATTTAACCATCTAATCATAACACAAACTAAGAACCGATCAATTTAACCATCTAATCATAACATAAACTAAGAACCGATCAATTTAACCATCTATTCACAACACAAACTAAGAACCGATCAATTTAACCATCTATTCATAATGTAAACTAAGAACTAGATCAATTTAACCACCTAATCATAACACAAACTAAGAACCGATCAATTTAACCATCTAATCATAACACAAACTAAGAACCGATCAATTTAACCATCTAATCATAACACAAACTAAGAACCGATCAATTTAACCATCTATTCATAACATAAACTAAGAACTAGATCACCAGGGCATGTGAGAAGTAGAGAGCATTAAAAAAAGCAGGGCCATGAAGAAAAAGAAGTTGTGACCTACAAGTTCAAGAGACAAGAATACAATGTTTTCTTATCCTAATTTTTTCCTTTTTTTTTCTTTTTCAAAGTCCAGGTTCCAGGCTTATCTTATATAACCCTAATGTTTAACCTTAAATATTAATAACAATATTTAATTCTTAATTCTGCCCCAAAAAGAGAATTTTTATAATCCTAATATTTATCCTCAAATTCAAAAGCATATTATACACCACATATAGGCAGCTAGGAAAAAGGACCCATCAAAGAAAAAGAAAATGGTGGGGAGGGGAGGAGGAAGGAGGTGGAGGGGGAAGAAGAGGGGGGAGGGGAGGGGAAGGAATGAAGGGAGGAAGGGAGGAAGGTAGGGAGGATGGGAGGGAGGACGAGAGGCAGGGAGGCAGGCAGAAGAGAGCAACTGAAGTGAATTAGTGAAAAGAGATTCCTAGAAACAATCTAGTAAAATTTACAGGCCTGGAATAAAAAGAAAAGCTAACTCAAACGAGACACACAAAAGAGAACAAAAAGGTAAGACTGACCCCCAATCCCTACAGAGCTATAGTTAGTACAGGGAAGAGAGCTCAAACTCCAAAGTGTGACACAGAGGTGAGTCACTGAGAGGCCTTCTTGAAAAAAAAAATTACTGGCCAGGTGTGGTGGCTCACACCTGTAATCCCAATACTTTGGAAGGCTGAAGCAGGTGGATCACCTGAAGTCAGGAGTTCAAGACCATCTGGTCAACACAGTTATACCCCATCTCTACAAAAATACAAAAATTAGCCAGGCATGATGGCAGGTGCCTGTAATCCCAGCTACTTAGGAGACGGGAGATTGGCTTGAACCCGGGAGGCAAGGGTTATAGTGAGCCAAGATCATGCTACTTGCACTCCAGCCTAGATGACAGAGCAAGACTCTGTCTCAAAAAAATAAAATTAAAATAATCTAACTACCAAATTATGAAATCTAATCAACCAAGAGGAGAACTACAGTAAAGAAACATAAAACCTGTGTTTGTAATTTAAAAATTAATGATGGATGAGCACTCACTTTTCCTTATTCAAGTATAAAACTCTTATTTAAAAAATAAAAAAATCCTTCCTAAATTCGTATCTCAAAAGGCACTTGCCACAGTAAAAAGTAACCTATGTAATGAGAGAAGATATTTGCAACCATTTATCTGACAAGGGGTTAATATCTAGGACATACCAAACAAATACCTACAACTCAACAACATAAAACTCAGTGCAAAAACTGGCAAAAGACTTGACTAGACCTTTCTTCAAAGAAGATATACAAATAGCCAACAATCACATGAAAAGATGTTCAACATCACTAGTCACAAAATACAAATCAAAACCATGAGATACTACTTCACACCCATCAGGATAGCATTAGCAAAAGCAAAAACAGGAAACACTAATGTTCTTAGCAGCACTGTTTACAACAGCCAAAAGATAAAAACAAGCCAGGGCCCAAAAATAGATGAAAAGATAAACAAAATGCAGTATATACATGCAATGGGGTATTATTCAGCCTTAAAAAGGAACAAAATGCGCACACGTTAGTTATAACATGGGTGAACCTTGCAAATGAAACCAGCCCAATTGTCCTATAAAACTGATGTTTACAGTCTTCTTCAATAAACATAAAAATGGACCCTCCCAGCCTTAAAACTTGAGAAAGTTACATTTGTCTTATCTGAGTTCCTTTCTCAGGAAACCAATCATCAGGCCTCCCAGATAGTTATCAAGGAACTGAAACTTACCAGATCACCACATCTAGACCATAAGACACCAGATCCCCTCACCCATCATGACTGCCTAACCAACTACCTGCTTCCTGTCAACCAACTCCTCTTTCTCACCCTTCCCTAACTCCTGTTTTCCCATGCATGGTTACATTTCTTCCCTGCCAAATAAACCCCTGGTTTTAGTCAGTTGAGGAGACAAATTTGAGACTGATCTCCCATCTCCTTAGCAGCAGCACCCAACTGAAGCCTTCCTCCCTGGCAACACTCATTGTCTCTGGGATTGGCTTTCTGTGCTGTGAGCAACAGGACCTAGACCAAACCCCCTGATGTTTCAGTGGCAATATGAAGTACTCACCATAAGCAAATCCACAAAGATAGAAAGTAAAATATAGGTTACCAGGACTGGGGAAGGGAAAGGGGGAGTTGTTTAATAGATAAAGAGCGTCTGTTTAAGATAATGAAAAAGTTCTGGAAATGAACAGTGGTGACGATTATGCAACAAGAATGAAACTAAATGCCACTGTACACATAAAAATGGCTAAAATGAAACATTTTAGACTATGCATAATTCGCAATTAACAATTTTTTAAATCACAGTATTACATTATTACTATATGTGAATTATTCCTCATAAAGTTGACTGGCAAGGATAAAGGGATATACAATTTGATAAATACCCAATGTTGGAAGTTCGAACAAAAGGCATTTTAAACACATTGACTGGACATTTTTAAGAGCATTTTAGCAATTTTTCAGAAATCACGAAAATATTTATTTTTGCCTTCTACCCATTTGTTCTAATTCTATGAATCTTCCCTAAAGGGAAAAAGAAAAAGCAGGCGAAAGATTTAAGCCCAAAAATGATCATCAAGATGTTGTTTATGATATTATAATACTATCCAAAAATAGTAAATGAAATGATCAGATATTCACAACATATAAAAAGTTTATCTTAAGTATTATGTATTTTATTTTTAAATGTTAATAGCATTTAAACTACATAATATATATGTTATGAAGGAAAGCAAACTTATAAAATTGTATCATGTGATTCTAATTTTGTACATGCAAAACAAAACTAAGGAATAAATATATCTATTTCAATAGTAATTACCTCCCAGACTAAGTTAAGGACCCTTTATCATATGCTATCAAAGCAATATAACCTGAGGTCAGAGAAAACCTCGCTGGAAGTAGCTTTGAATGGAGGAGAATAAAAAAAGATTCCTACCAGCGAACTTGTCCACCTCGGTATTTATCACTGTGTTCAAATTAAAACTGTTTTATAATCAAACTTCAGTTTTTAAAAGCAGGGTGAAAACCAGTATGTGTGGATTTTGGTATCCAAGGGGATGCTAGAACCAATCTCCGGGCTGATACATGGAGATCATGTACCTGGAAATGATTTGGATTGTGTTTTACAACGTCAGCAGGGGGCACTCCATTCAAGGATATTATGCGTTTTAGATAAAAGTGTTTAAACAAGTATTTCCCTGATTCAGTTTTAATGGGCATATCATAAGCCTTCTCAAAATATTAAATGCCCAATCGTTACCTAAAAATCCTAGTTTCTATTACCAGATGTTACTTTGGGAGAGTAATATTAGAAGATGTATAAGAATTACTCTTATTGTTAAGCATTTTCTAAACTCCTGTTGTTTCACCAGTATTTCACCAGCACAGAAGAATAATTGTTATCATACCACTGCCACAATTCACAAACTCCTTTCGCCTCCATTTTTACCTGTGTCTGTCCTAACAATCATGTGAGATAAGCAAGCCTGGTGATAATAACACAACTTCTACAGCCCCAGCCCCATTGTAAATGAAATGTCCTCCAAGAACCAGGCACCATACAAGGTCTCTCACAGATTTACCTCATTCAAAGTGAGTCATTACCAAAAATTCATGAAGTATTTCTCTCAACCCAACTTTACAGATGAGGCTACTGAGGCTCAGCAATTAAAGTAACTGGCCCCGAAAACAGATCTGTGATCACACACCCAGGCCTGTCTCAATCCCAAACCTATGCCATTTCCTTGTCCCACCCACACTCCCCAGGAAAGAGAGATTGAGAAAAAGATAATCATTAGGCCAATTCTCACTGACAACCGGAACCCAGAGCCTTCTAACCCTTGATCTGCTGTGTTTTCCGTATGGCAAACTGCTTCTATAAAAAGCCAGGACACTTCCTTCCATCATAAATGGATTTATAAAACATAATCCTATTAGATTATAAAAAACATCATAGGGAAACTACGTGCTATATGAGGGAAAGATAACGGTGTCCAAGGGAAACCTTGAGGAAGTATAACTAAATTAATACACAGGGACAAGGGTTTAAGTATTTTATAACCAAAACTCAAAACAGTAACAGTCAGCAAGCTGCAGTGGCTCACACCTGTAATCCTAACACTTTGGGAGGCAGAGATGGGAGAATCACTTGAGCCCACGAGTTCAAAACCAGCCTGGGCAACATAGTGAGAGATCCCGTCTCTAAGAAAATAAAAAAAACGGTAACAGTTAACAAAGTTTCCAGGAGTAGCTTAGATAATTCCAGAATTGTATTTATAATATTAGGAGAAGGGCTATTTTAAAATATTCCAAAATTTATCATTGGAATGCCCACAAAAATTGCCTACGGGTAGAGTCATCATTATGTCAGAATAATTTATTATTTAGGACTCTGCCTTTGATAAATATGTATGCTGTAACTACTTAATAAAGTCATGAAAAATAATTTTTTAAATATAAACGTTACTTACATATCCCAGTTCGGAGCTATCCGCAAATGCTGGATTAGTAACTGGAACTAGAATAAAAAATTAAAATGTAAAAAAAGGAAAAATTAAAATATTGAAACCACAAAACACAGAAAGTAACAGCAAAGTTAACAGCTCGGATCTTCATAAAAAGGAAATTTACAATGTACACCAAAAATGATGTTTACCAAATTACCAAGACACTAGTCTATGAATACAATTAAAATAAAAACTAAGAACAGTACTTTTAGTTTCTCCCAAATGACTGCCCTTACCTGACAGACACACACCAACTATCAAAAAAGGTAATATTAATACTATCCTGAAAGCAAACGAACTGAAAGTTTTTCAAGCAAATTCCCAAATGGGGCCCACTACAGAAAACACCTCTGAACCACAGTAATTCCTGCCTGAGGATGACCTCAAACGCTCTGCCAATCGACGCTCAAACGTGAGCCAAAAGAAACAAAAGAACTCTGACAAATTCCCATGAGCTTACAATGGACCAACACAGTCCAGAAAGTAAATTCCCAGGGGAAGAGGAAAAACGTGTCTTACAGGGTGGATGTCTTTCTCCAGCGTCACGTCAGAAACCGAGCAGTTGACCCGACGACCCGGTAAAGGACCGACACCCCCACCCATTCCGCACCCCCACCCACTCCACATGGGCAGTTCACTCCGGTCACTGATGAGAAGGTAGAAGGTCTGTCTTAGGATATCACACTATTTTTCTTTTTTGAGACCAAGTTTCACTCTTTTTGCCTAGGCTGGAGTGCAATGGCACGATCTCAGCTCACTGCAACCTCTGCCTCCCAGGTTCAAGTGATTCTTCTGCCTCAGCCTCCCGAACAGTTGGGATTATAGGAGTGCACCACTATGCTCAGCTAACTTTGTGTTTTTAGTAGAGACCACATTTCGCCATGTAGGCCAGGCTGGTTTCAAACTCCTGACCTCAGGTGATACACCCGCCTTGGCCTCCCAAAGTGCTGGGATTACAGGCATGAGCCACAGTATCCGACCTGATTTCATATTTTTTTTAATCTTACAAGTTAACGTAAAATGGAAATGTGAGCATCAAAAAAAAAAGTTCAAAATCACCATCTACTCTCATCTACTTTAAGACCTAAGAATTAAGCAGAAGATAATTTTCAGAAACCTAAAATCATGATAAATCAGATTTTTCATGGTAGTTAAATCAAACTGATATTTTAGTACTTCTTTGAGCCTCTATAAAAACACAAGCTTAAACCAGACGCGGTGGCTCAAGCCTGTAATCCCAGCAGTTTGGGATGCCAAGGTAGGTGGATCGCAAGGTCAGGAGATGGAGACCATCCTGGCCAACATGGTGAAACCACGTCTCTACTAAAAATCCAAAAATTAGCCAGGCATGGTGATGGGTGCCTGTAGTCCCAGCTGCTCGGGAGGCTGAGGCAGAATTGCTAGACCCTGGGAAGCAGAGGTTGCAGTGAGCCAAGATTGCACCACTGCACTCCAGCCTGACAACAGAGCAAGATTCTGTCTCAAAAAAAAGTGTAAATGCATAAGGCATGTCACAGAGGCCTACCAGCGGAGAGTGGAGGAGCCTGGTGGCCACCTCCTGGTGACCAGCCACCACGCACAGATAGCAAAGGAGATTCAGCTTGGCGCGGGAGGCCCCCATGCTCTTCTCGGTGCAGTCGATCTGCGAGCACACTTGTTGCAAAAAGTCATTCCAATCTTGGTCTTTCAGCAACAGTAACTTATCCACTGCCAAGGAAAGAAAATGATAAAAGCATTTATGAGAAAAAGAACTGCCAGAAACATTACATGAGCAATAAACACAGAATGACAACGGCTGACGACAAAGAAAACACTGCACTGTCAGAACCAAAAATAACTCCAAAGATGACACGACTTGTATGTGTCCTACTTCCTCATCTCTTTACCTATCCACGGAAACTTTTCAACCATGTCAAGGGAAAACCATGCTTCAAATACAGCGGATGTCTGAAGCACAACTGTCCCACAACCTAGACTATAACAGAATGCAAAGTTCAATACAACCGAAGTCAAAGACAAAAGAGCCTTTGTATACATAAATCCACTCTGAAACACCGGGAAAAGCACAAATCTTACAGTTCTTACAAAGTTCCAACAGCCAATTGCGGAGGCTGACGCCTGTAAGCCTGGCACTTTGGGAAGCCAAGGCGGGCGGATCACGAGGTCAGGAATTCAAGACCAGCCTGGCCAACATGGTGAAACCCCGTCTCTACTAAAAATACAAAAATTAGCTGGGTATGGTGGTGTGCTCCTGTAACCCCAGCTACTTGGGAGACTGAGGCGGGAGAATCACTTGAACCTAGAAAGCACAGGTTGCAGCCAGGATGATACCACTGCACTCCAGCCTGGGTGACACAGCGAGACTCTGTCTCAGAAAAAAAAATTTCCAACAAAATTACTGTAAAAAAAAAGAAGGATAACGTGATAGGTAAAATCACCTGAAATTCCAACCTCTAAATCCCTATACAAAAAAAGGCAAAATCTAAGAAATGTGATACCCCCTAAAATTAACATATTTTCCACTGATCTCTATCTTTAGACAAAATAAACTGTAAATATAATTCCTAAATAACTCAAAGAAGAAAAAGGAAATCGGATTCCAGGTAATAATTCTCTAGGTTTGCATAAACAGTCCTACTTGGCACTGAAAGCACTGTTAATAATATTTTGCTTCACTTTGGTCTTTCACAAACGTCCTTCTACACAGTTTCTTTTCTGTTTTTTATCAGTAATTAAGATGATCGATATAAACCCTTAGCTGGTTTATTTAAAGCTAAATTTTATTTAAAGCTATATTTTAAATTTACTTCAAGTAATAGATTCTACTCTAGCCACGATGAATGATTTTTCCCAAATCCAGTTTAACAACTTAAATGTAATTTGTTTAAAAAAAACAGTTTAAGAGATGTAAAAATATCTGCCATTCACCCTAAATAAGATTTTCATTAGCGCAACAGAAAGGTAGAAATCATCCTATAAGCATCTCCACTCCCACACCATCTCCACAGTCACGAGCCACCTCGTTCTGTTCTCAAAGTCCAGTCCCTCCAACAAATCCCAGTCCTTCATTGCTGTCCCCAACCCTGTGCACCTACAGCAGCCATAAATGGTGGAAATTCAACCAGCTCTATGAAGGCAAGGGCAGGAGACCCCCACCCACTCTACAGGAAAACTCCCCAGATCTACAGGAATCCCCTACCCACAAGAGGACAGGGCAGCGCAGGCTCAGCTGAGAAATGTAAACAGCTGGCACAAATGAATTACAGATTGTTTACAATTCGCCTAACACTGCCCCAAGAATATAACCAATTGTCGAGAAAAAATAAATTTAGCTTTTCACATACAAATATTACATTTGCAAGGAAGTTTCATATTTGTTTCCATATACAGAGTCTGCATGTTCAGTAAGTCCTTTACAATCCTACCTGAATATGCTGGTAGATGCAATATTTTTGGATCAAATTTAACCGGTGGTTGTTTCATTATCTGCAGTTAAAAAGGAAAAAAAACAACTTTCGAGACTACTTTTTTTAATTGCATTTTAGGTTTTGGGGTACATGTGAAGAACATGCAAGATTGTTGCACAGGTACACACGCGGCAGCGTGATTTGCTGCCTTCCTTCCCATCACCTATATCTGGCATTTCTCCCCACGTTATCTCTGAGACGATTTTTAAGATGGATTATCTGTCTCCTTATACGTCCCTTATGTCAGATTATAAATCAATGAGGATAAAAAAAGAATGTGTAAAATGTGTTACTAAAAAAAAATAAGAATTCAACAATGCCTTTCAGATTAAAACATACAAATACAGGTAACAACAACTTTTTTAATTATTTCAGTTGATATCTGTAATAAAATAAAGCTTCATAGAAAAAAATTCAGCCCTCTCTCGGCTTCCATTTTAGCTAATTAACCTCTAGATTAAAAATTTGGTCATTTAACAAATATCTATTGGGTACCTGCCAAGGTAAGGTAAGGCTCTATGCGAAACGCTCGTGGGAATACAAAGGTGTAAAAGACACAATCCTGTTTTCAGAAAGCTGACATTCTGGTTGGAAAGACGAGACAAACATCTGTTAACAAAATATTTCACAATTCAAAACAGGCAGGACATTACAGACGAAGCACTGGACAGAAGAATGTTTTTGTAAATAGTGGTTTAGAGAATACAGCAAGCACCTTAGCTGATACAGTTAGGACCAGGCGTGCAGGAAAGAAAGAAGGCGGGCTGCCGTCCTGAAGGATTAGAACTTTATTGTTATATCAGAGAAGACGGCATTCCGGGAAGCCAAAATGGCATGAATTGGAAAGCGCACAATTTATTCGAGAAACGTGAAGAAACCACGTAGTTGGATTCATGAGCTTAGGACAGACAGATACTTCATCTTGAGACTTTGACTTAAAAAAGCAACCATCATTTCTATACCTAACTTCTGCAAAACTTCTATATGTAATATTTTTAAAAGCTTTACTAATAAAGTAAGTAACCAGCATGACTGTATTTATTGTAGTATTCTTACTAAAATGCATATTATCATTCTAATCTCATAATCCAAATTCATAGTATCATTCTAATTATGAGAAACCCTTAGACAAACCTAAATTAAGGGACATTCTATAAAACACTCAACCAGTTACTCTTCAAAGTGTCAAGGACTTGAGTCATATGTTTTATAACATGTATTACAAAAAAACACGACAGGCGCAATGGATCAAGCCTGTAATCCCAGCACTTTAGGAGGCTGAGGCAGGTAGAGGAGGTCAGGAGTTCAAGACCAGCCTGGTCAAGATAGTGAAACCCCATCTCTATTGAAACTACAAAAATTAGCCAGGCGTGGTGACAGGCACCTGTAGTCCCAGCTACTCAGGAGGCTGAGGCGGGAGAATTGCTTGAACCCGGGAGGCAGAGGTTACAGTGAGCTGAGATTGCGCTACTGCACTCTGGCCTGGGCAACAGAGTGAGACTCTGTCTCAAGAAAAAAAAGTGTCAAAGTCATGAAGACAAAGTCTGAGAAATACTGACAAGGCCGTGAAAGACCAGGGCAGACTGCAGGAGACTAAGGGGGCAGAACACCTAACTGTAATGTGGCATCCTGGAACGAAAAGAGAGGACACTAGAGGCAACTGGGAAAATTCAGGTCAGGTTGGCAGCGTAGTCAACAGCACTACACTCAGGAGTTCTTTTATCTTTCCCTTTCTTTTTCAGGAAGACCAGTGAGGATACTGCAAGCCCTCATTACACAGAGACGTTAATCAAGTATCCTGCAACCCTGATTACCACATTCCACTGCCCTCCAGAAGGAGGAACAGGTAAGGGTTATCCTGCCTGACTAACTACAGCAGTGTCAATTCCCAGGCCTTGCTAACTAGACGACAGACATGTGCGATGTCAACACTAAGAGCGGCTGGGCAAATGGTACACGGGAACCCTCAACTTCTCTTAAGTCCAAAAGCAGTTTAAAATGAAAAGTTCAACACAAAATTTCCACTCACTAAGGCTTCCCAGAAACTATCAAATATGGTTACAAGAGGAAAACGACACAGAATATTGTCTAAAGCAAGCCTATCCAACAGGCAGCCCAAGACGGCTCCCAATGTGGCCAAATCCGTAAATTTTCTTAAAACATTTTGAGATTTTTCTGCAAACTGTTTGCTTATTTAGTTCATCAGCTAACATTAGTGTATTCTACGTGTGACCCAAGACAATTCCTCTTCCAATGTGGCCAGGGAAGCCAAAAGATTAGACACCCCTGGGAAAGATACCACACACTGTTCTAGAAAGACCACTCTGAAAATGCCCCAATGCGCATCACACTTAGCGTAACAAAGTTTTCCGCCAGACACATTAACTCACGAAAAGAATTAGCTCCATTATGAAAAATAGCTTAAAAATCTATATGAAATACTATCTAGAAAATAAATGTGAATCCAAGAATTCCTGTGGTCTAAAGCACAATGATGTTCCCAATGAGATGTAAGGAAAAACAGTCACGAATTAATACAGAAAAACACATTTTAAAAAGAAAAAGCAGAAAAATTAACATGGAGAATAAGCAGTGGAATGTGAGCATGGTGAGGAGCTTGAAGTCAAGACGAAGCAGAGGGACTTGGAAATGAATTTGTTTTTTAAAGTAGATACTCATATCTATCCCCTGGCCATAAAGTATCATATTCCAAAGACGAGAAGTGAGACAGCTGGCAGTGGCTAGGAAGTACATTGTGAACCATGACCCCTCCAGCCCCCCGTGGCTCCCCACCGTCTCCCCTGCAGTCTCAACCTGTGAGAGGTGAGGGCTTCTGTGTGATCTGCCTGCCCGGCCAAACCTGGCAAGCACTGCCCTCTGACCGCCTCTGCCTTCAAAATACATCAGAGACTAAAATATTTAGAGGGGTTCGCAGCAGTGCACGTGGAGAAAGAAAGGGATGAGAGCTAAGGTCTGAGGCCAAGAGGGTGGCAGCCCCTCCGTGGCATGTGGAAGGTCTGAGGCCAAGAGGGTGGCAGCCCCTCCGTGGCATGTGGAAGGTCTGAGGCCAAGAGGGTGGCAGCCCCTCCGTGGCATGTGGAAGGTCTGAGGCCAAGAGGGTGGCAGCCCCTCCGTGGCATGTGGAAGAGAGCCGTGGTGAAGGGTGGAGCTGACTCGTCAAAACGCAGGAGAGAACACTTACAACTCCAGTGAAATGCAGGTAAGGCAGAGGAAAGGGCTGCCGACAGGAGAGGCAGACACGCAGCACAGTGAGTGAGACAGAAGCAGACAAGAGCAACAGGAAAGGTCAGGCAGTAAACAACACTCTCGATGAAAACCCCGTGCGCATTTCAGGTCTCAGTGAGGTCTACCCCTCAGTGGTGAGCGTCTCTGCACACCTTTGGGTTGTCGATAATGGGGGTGACGAGAAGATCTGAGTCCGTGTAGATCAGCTCCCTCATCCGGGACTCCAGGTCCTGCCGACTCAGGTGTCCACTTGCAACCTGAAACTGGAACAAAAATTAGACTTCGTTTCTGCGACTCATGTAGAGCTTCAGAAGACTGAACTAGTAAGATGCCGAGGAAGACCCCACTGTCAGAGGTCCCCTAGATGGATGCGCTTCAACTGCTATTCGAGACACCTGCGGGCTCATGTGATTTTCACAGAAACCCCAAACTGTAGGCACCATCATTCCCACTTTACAGATAAAATATAAGACTGCGCAAGTAACTGAATCGCTCATGTTACCAGTAAGGCTGGATAAGAAAAAAGATCTTTACAGTTCAATGTTCTAAGCTGTGATGAGGCAAATTGGTTTTTTGATTAATTACCAGCATGGCTGTTTGTTGTTGTTGTTGTTTTTTTTTTTTTTTTTTTTGAGACCAACTCTCACTCCATCACCCAGGCTGGAGTGCAGTGGCACACTCTCAACACTGCAACCTCTGTCTCCCTGGTTCAAGTGATTCTCCTGCCTTGACCTCCCAAGAATAGAATTACGGGTGCACGCCACCATGTCCAGCTAATTATTATATTTTTACTAAAGACGAGGTTTCACCATGTTGGCCAGGCTGGTCTCCAAATCCTGGCCTCAGGTGATCTGCCTGCCTCAGCCTCCCAAAGTGCTGGGATTACAGGCGTGAGCCACTGCGCCTGATCCACGGCTTTAGTTTTCATTCACAGAATGCTAATCAATTTATTTCCGCTTTACAGAATATTCAACATGAAGCTGAAGCTGTACACACACAAAAAAAATGTCAGACTTAAATACAAACCTGTTACCTAAGGGTTAAACATCAATTATTTATTAAGCCTAGTCAGAGCTGATAACTAATAAAATGAATCACCAGACATTCACCATCAGTTATGCCTTTGAGATGGTTCTTTGTGCTCTACTTAAATGTAATTTGTATTCCTAGTACTATGCCTCAGTATTTGCCAACAGGGAAAAAAAAAAAAAAAAAAAAGGATTTATGCTTCAGAACCGTAAGAGAAACAATGACTAGCAAACTAAATAAAACAGAAAAGCGAATCTGTGAAGTAAGCAATAAGAAAAATAAATTATTCAAAGCTGAGCAAGCAAGGGTCATGGATAAAGGAACAGAGGAGTTCGCTAAGGAAGTTCCTGGAAACCCAAAATGCCCCTTGCAACTCAGAAGAAAGACATAATGAAACATACAAAGAAGCTGGGCATGGTGGCTCATGCCTATAATCCCAGCACTTTGGGAGGCTGAGGCGGGCGGATCACAAGGTCAGGAGTTTGAGACCAGCCTGACCAACATGGAGAAACCCCATATACTAAAAATACAAAAATTAGCCAGGCATGGTGGCAGGCACCTGTAATCCCAGCTACTCAGGAGGCTGATGCAGGAAAATCACTTGAACCTGGAAGGCAGAGGCTGCAGTGATCCAAGATCACACCGCTACACTCCAGCCTTGGCAACAGAGGGAGACTCTGTCTCAGAACAAAAGAAAAGAAAGAATGTAAGATTAGTAAGGTGGACCAATTAAAAACTTGTATGCAAAAATTAATTTCCTATAGGTAAACTGAATATATGCACAAATGCCAAGTTGTAACAAATATCCCACTCACAATAGCAAAAATATATAAAATAAAATGTTCAGGAATGAACTAAATGATCAATAATTGCAATGAGATCATAATCATTAAATTAAAAACAATTAAAATAGGTTGAAATTTTGAAGAAATATTTATCCAAAGAAAATAGATAAATGGTCAATAAAATACATAAAAAGATACTCAACATCAGCCAAGTGCGGTGGCTCACGCCTGTAATCCCAGCACTTCAGGAGGCCAAGGCAGGCCTATCACCTGAGGTCAGGAGTTCGACACCAGCCTGACCAACATGGTGAAATCCCATCTCTAGCAAAAATTAGCTGGGCATGGTGGTGGGCTCCTGCAATCTCAACTACTGGGGAGGCTGAGGCAGGAGAATCGCTTGAACACAGGAGGGGGATGTTGCAGTGAGCCGAGATCACGCCACTGCACCCCAGCCTGGGAGACATGGCAAGACTCCATCTCAAAAAAAAAAAGTTCTCAGTATCATCAGCCATCAGGTAAATGCAAATCAAAACCACTAAGACACAGAATTTCACACCTACCAGCAGGACATGGTGACTCATGCCCATAATTCCAGCACTTTCAGAGGCTGAGGAGGCGGGGGGATCATTTGAGGTCAGAAGTTCAAGACCAGCCTGGCCAACATGGTGAAACCCCGTCTCTACTAAAAATACAAAAATTAGCTAGATGGTAGTGGTGCATGCCTGTAATCCCAGCTACTCGGGAGGCTGAGGCAGAAGAATAGCTTAAGCCTGGGTGGGGAGGTTGCAGTGAGCCAGGATCATGCCAGTGCACTCCAAACTCCAGAGTGGGCAACACAGTGAGACCCTGTCTCCATCAATCAGTGGAATGTCACACCCGCTAGGTTTGAAACAGCATGGCTATCGTAAGAAAGACAATAGCCAACAGGTGGAGCAACCCAGGTGTTCATCAACAGACGGGAAGATAACAAAGCGTATTCAATACACACAAGGGAAAATTATTCAGCCTTAAAAACAAACGAAATTCTGGCACATGCCACAACGTGGATGAACATTAATGACATTAGGCTAAGCAAACGGAGCCAGGCACAAAAGGGCAAATACTATATGAGACCATTGCTGCCAGCAGTCCCCAAACTTTCTGGCATCAGGAACCAGCCTGGCAGAGACAGTTTTTCCACAAACCAGGTTGGGGGAAACGATTTGGGGATGATTCAAGCACATCACATTCATTGTGCACTTTCTTTCTTTCTTTTTTTTTGAGACAGAGTCTCACTCTGTCAGCCAGGCTGGAGTACAGTGGCACAATCTCGGCTCACGGCAACCTCCGCCTCCTGGGTACAAGCAATTCTCCTGTCTCAGCCTCCTGAGCAGCTGGGACTACAGGCACGCACCACCACCCGCAGCTCATTTTTGTATTTTTAGTAGACACAGGGTTTCACCATGTTGGCCAGGATGGTCTCGATCTCCTGACCTCATAATTTGCCCACCTTGGCCTCCCAAAGTGCTGGGATTACAGGTGTGAGCCACCATGCCCACCACAGTGAACTTTATTTCTCTTATTTTTATACTGTATTATATAATGAAATAATCATACAACTCACAGAATCAGTAGGAGCCCTGAGCTTGTTTTCCTACAACTAGGCAGTCCCGTCTGGGGGCGATGGAAAACATTGACAGAGCACACAGCCTAGATCCCCCACTCGGGTAGCTCACAACAGGGTGCACGCCGCTCTGAGAATGTTTAACGTCAGCACTCCTCCGACAGGGGTCGGAGCTCAGACAGCAATGCAGGGGATGGAGAGCGGCTGTGAATACAGACGCTTCATTCACTTCCCACTGCATGGCCTGGTTCCTAAGTGGCCACGGACCAGCAGCAGCCCTTGGCCAGGGGCTAGAGACCCCTGACTTATGCAGTGCACCTAGAATAGGCACATTCATAGAGGCAGAAGGTTTAACAGTGGTCGCCAGGGGCTAAAGATAACGGGAAATGGGCAGTTACTATTTAATGGTAGAGTTTCAATTTGGGATGATGAAAATCTTCTGGAGACAGATGGTGGAATAGCTGCACAGCAGCGTGAATGTACTTCATGCCCCTTGAACTGTATACTTAGAAATGAGTTACAATGGTAAACTTTATGTAATGCATTTCTTACCACACTTCTTAAGACCAGCAATACCAAATGTTAGTGAGAGTGTGTAAAAGTGGATACCCTCATACACTGCTGGCTGGAATGTAAAATGCTGCAGATACTCTGAAAACAGTTTGACAATTCCTTGAGAAGTTAAACAGGGCCAGGCCCGGTGGCTCACGCCTATAATCCCAGCACTTTGGGAGGTTGAGATAGGAGCATCACTGGAGCCCAAGAGTTGGAGAACAGCTTAGGCAAACAGCAGGACACTGCCTTTAGCAATGATTTTTGGTAGTGGTGGCATATGCCTGTACTTCCAGGTACTTGGCAGACTGAGGCAGGAGGATCCCCAGAGCCCAGGAGGTCCAGGCATCAGTGAGCTATGATTGTACCACTGCACTCCAGCCTGAGTGACAGAGTGAGACTTTATCTCAAAAACAAAAAGTTAAACAAGGAACAAGGAGCTAACACATGACACAGCAATTCTACTCCTAAGTATATACCCAAAGAGAAATAAAAATATTCATCCGCACAAAAACATGTACACAAATCACAGCAGCACTTTCATTCCAGCCAAAAGGAAGAACCCACCCAAATACTCATCAACTGATGACTGATTCAAAAAGATATTGTATATACAATAAATTATTTGACAATAAAAAGGAATCTAGTACTGATATATGCTACAACTTGGATGAATCTTGAAAACCTATGTTAAAAAGGCCGAGCGCAGTGTCTTGCGCCTGTAATCCCAGCACTTTGGGAGGCCAAGGCAGGCAGATCATGAGATCAAGAGATCGAGACCATCCTGGCCAACATGGTGAAACCCTGTCTCTACTAAAAATACAAAAACTAGCTGGGCATGGTAGCTGACGCCTGTAGTCCCAGCTACTCAGGAGGCCAAGACAGGAGAATCACTTGACCCCAGGAGGCAGAGGTTGCAGTGAGCCGAGATCTCACCACTGCACTCCAGCCTGGCTATAGAGTGAGATTCCATCTCAAAAAAAAGAGAGAAAACATATGTTAAGTGGGAAAAGCTTGTAACAAAAGACCACATATTATTTGATTCCATTTATATGAAATGCACAGAACAGGTAAAATAATAAAGACAAAACGTATACTAGCGGTTGTCTAGAACGAGCACAGAGAAGAACAGCAGAAACGTGGGGTGGCCGGCGGCAGTGCCTGCTGATGGATGATGAGACAATTAACTGTGGTGACAGGTGCACAACTCTGAATATGTTACTGGTCCCTGAATTGCACCTTTTTAAGAGGTGGGGTCTCACTCTGTCACCCGAGCTGTCACAGCTCACTGCAGCCTGAATCTCCTGCACTCAAGCACCTCCCCTGCGTCAGCCTCCCATGGGGCTAGGGCTACAGGTGTGTACCACCAAATCCACGTAAAAACATGTACACAAATGTTCACAGCAGCATTTTCATTACAGCCAAAAGGCAGAATCAACCCAGCTAGTTATTTTTAATTTTTGTGTGAGGACAGGGTCTTGCTAAGTTGACCAGGCTGGTCTCAAATGCCTGCCCTCAAATGATCCTTCTCCCTCAGCCTCCCAAAGTGCTAGAATGACAATTCACACACAGCCCAAACTGTCCGCCTTAAATGGGTGAATTGTATGGTATGTCAACTGTATCTCAAGGAAGGTCTTACCAAAAAGATCAACCATGGAGCACCTAAATGGGCTCTCTCTCTCACAGCACTTACAAGAAAACCCATAGCCATCAGGAAAGATGATCTCATTGTGAATTTTGGAATCATAAACATAATTCATTGATCAACTTACAATTATTCTTTTGGGCTTCTACATCTCCTGTAGGAAGTTTCCCAAGTCTGCTTACCTTGGTCAAAGGAGAAGTCTTCTGCGGTGAGCTGTGAGTCACGTCCTCAGCAGGACCTGCTTCCACCGCACTGCTAGTTCTTGGAGTAGGACGCGAACTGAAAAACCCACACCAGTTACCATTACACAGATCTCAGAGTTTATTGTTTACTGTTTTCCAGAAGAAAACATGTCTCGTGAAAACTAGTATGATAATTCCATATGATCTCAGTACAAAAGTCTAGACATCATTTGTTCATATAATTTTTATAACTGCTACTAATTTCCTGGCCAGTATATTATTTCTTTTATTTATACTTTCCATGCCATATACAGTATTCTCATTTTTAACTAGAAAGCTTCAAACATTAATCTTTATAAATGTCTTTTGGTACTGACAGGATTAACATAAATAAAATAGATCAGATATTCTACAAAGAATGGAAAATATTTGTAGCTGTATGTCAGAAAATTTTCGAAGAGGAAATTACCCTGGCACCTATTTAAAATAAGTAGCAAGTAGGCTACAATCCATATGTATATGTAAGAATCCCTCCTACACATACAAATGCTGCTACACTGTACGAGCCACTGCACTTTTCCTGAATCTACGGTTTCAAGCTTTTCACTTTTTTGTTTTGTTTTGTTTTTTTCAGATGGAGTCTTGCTCTGTCACCCAGACTAGAGTGCATAAGCAGGATCTCGGCTTACTGCAACCTCGGCCTCCCCAGTTCAAGCCATTCTCCCACCTCAGCCTCCCAAGTAGCTGGGATTACAGGCACCTGTCACTGCATCTGGCTAATTTTTGTATTTTTATTAAAGATGTGTCTCACCATCCTGACCCTGTGATCCTCCTGCCTCGCCCTCCCAAAGTGCTGGGATTGCAGGCGTGAGCCAATGCACTGGCCTGAGCTTTCCACATTTTAAGAAATCCTTCCCCTCAGAACATTAATCTTTTTTGATTATTTCCTTCAGGGCCAAGCACAGTGGCTCATGCCTGTAATCCCAGCACTTTGGGAGACCAAGGCAGTCAAGATCACTTGAGGTTAGGAATTTGAGACCAGCCTGGCCAACATGGTGAAACCAGCCTCTACTAAAAATACAAAAATTAGGCCAGGCACAGTGGATCATGCCTGCGATCCCAGAACTCTGGGAGGCCGAGGCAAGCAGATCACCTGAGGTCAGAAGTTCAAGACGAGCCTGCCCAATGTGGCAAAACCCCACCTCTACTAAAAATATAAAAATTAGCCAGGAGTGGTAGCAGGTGCCTGTAATCCCAGCTATTCGGAGGCTGAGGCAGGAGGATCACTTGAACTCAGGAGGTGGAGACTGCAGTGAGCCGAGGTCATGCCAATGCACTCCAGCCTAGGTGACAAAGTGACACTCTATCTCAAAAAAAAAAAAATTACCCAGGAGTGGTAGCAGATGCCGGTAATCCCAGCTACTCGGGAGGCTGAGGCAGGAGGATCACTTGAACTCAGGAGGTAGAGACTGCAGTGAGCCAAGATCACGCCACTGCACTCCAGCCTGGGCAACAGAAGGAGATCTTGTCTCAAAAACAAAACAAAACAAACAAGCTGGACTTCTGAAATTTTACGTTCAATTTTATTTTAAGTTAAATAACAAAATGAAGAGACAGTAACCCTTACAAATGTAAACAATGAGTTGGTTTGGTAAAAACTAAGTTGGTTTGGTTAAAATTTTTCAAAAATCCTGTATATAGCAAAACCTACATTTCACTGGCCAGTACCTAACGGTAACTTTGAAAACAGAGTGAAACTGGAATTTGGCACTAAAATTCCTGTTCTTTATTTCCATGTAACATGGTTTGCACCAAGACAGCAAACGCTTTAAGAAAACGTAACTTTTGTCCAGCACTGCTCCCCGTTTTCATTTTACCTACCTGAGAAGAAACATGGATTCTTTCAACTGACCCTCCAGAGTACTCTTAGGCCGAAATTCGGTTGGATTTTCTGTAGCAGGAAAGTAGTATGTTATCCAGAAAAGAACAAAAATATCATAGGCAAGGTATAAGATACGCAAGATTTCAAGGGAAATGACACTGAAATTAGGAACTCTCTCAAACAGCATTCTCAGCAGCGTGAATGTGCTCAAATAAACGCTTACCTAGTCTGAAAGAGTGACCTAGTGCTTGACCACTCTGGTGGCCTTTTGCTTGTCCACTCTGAGGGTTCTGCGGAAGCTCCCTGGAATCTTCTTGCCCAGAACGCTCCGTCATGTTTCTGTCATTATTGGAGGAAACCAACACAATCAAACTGACTTTGGAGTTCTCTACAGTTTTGTGTTAGAAGAAGAGGTTGGAGAAGATCAAGTTACACCTGACATTTAGCAAAGCTACAGAACCTCTTAACTTCGTGCCTCACTCATACACATAGCCATCAAAGACTGGCAGGGCAGCTACGTCACCGCAGTCCCTCAAGATCCAGGCTAAAGCCGGGTGTGATGGCATACACCTGTAATCCTAGCACTTTGGGAGGTCGAGGCAGATAGATCACTTGAGCTCAGGAGTTCAAGACCAGCCTGGGCAACACAATGAGACCTTGTCTCTATTTTTTTGTTTTTAACACATTTTTTTAAATTTATAAAAGAAAAGAATAAATAAAAAGACCCAGGTTGACAGACCAAGTATGATGGCTCACACCTATAATTCCAGCACTTTGGGAGGCCGAGGCAGGCGTATCACTTGAGGCCGGGACTTTGAGACCAGCCTGGGCAACACGGTGAAACCCCGTCTCTACTAAAAATACAAAAATTAGCCAGGTGTGCTAGCCCGTATCTATAGTCTCAGCTACTCAGGATGCTGAGGTGGGAGGATCACCTGAGCCCAGGGAGGTCAAGGCTGCACTGCGCCATGATTGCACCACTGCACTCCCGCCTGGGTGACAAAGTGAGACACTGTCTCCCAAAAAAAAAAAACACACACACAGATCCAGGCTGACAAGAACCCCATTTTGACATTTTTCTTCCCAATCACCTCGTCATGAGGAAGAAATGTGGTAAATTACCACCGCTCTTCGATTTTAAATATGAGAATAACACACATTACTTTTGCCAACATTTTGTTTCCCAAAACAAGACACATGACCACACCTAACTTAAAGAGAGAAAAGTTCCTACCATTTACTTGGGAGGTGGAAAACCAGAGTTATTTGGCGACAGAACTAACGACTATCACATCAATGACTGAAGAACAGAAAATAAGCAAAATCAAGAACACAAAAATATCGTGATTAAACTCCTTAATCAAACAAATGCTGGGCTGTCGCCTGCTAAGAAAGCAGACACATTCAGGTCATTGATGCTGCATCGTTAGAACAGTCACGGGCCTGAGCGTCCCATACGCAAAGGGAAGTGTATCTACCTGAGACCAGGGGCGCCGATGCCCGCTTCCGGATCTGCCCCAGTGAAAGCTTTCTTCCAAAATGAATGCTGCAGTAGACCTGTCCAAGTCATTCTTTATAAAACATAAATGGTAAAACTCTACTTTAACATGATTTACCATCAGGAGTTCCCAAGATACGTCCCAATTACACATAGCAGACTGTACAATCTCTATCTCCTAAAGGTGCATGTGTACCTTTGAAATCACTTTATATTTTATTCTTTCATTTTTGTATGCGATTAATCTCTTTTAGACAGCAAGATCAAAAGAAATAATTCAGAAGACTTAAATGGTACAGAATGAAATAGTCTGTTAACTAAGTATTAGAAGTTTCAGGGTTCAAATGCCATAGAGTCTGGGTTCTCCGCCCATTCTAGAAAAAAGGGAGTCTATAAATAAACTGAAAGTCTGAAGTAAATATTCAGATATCTATGATCCTGCCATCCTTTATTTCACAAGAGAGGCAAGATTATTTTACTTACCCTCACTGACACTCTTCAGTTTTGCAACTATTCTATTAGAACTTCATTCAGGAATAAATAAGGATACCAGGCCAGGCACAGTGTGGCTCACACCTGTAATCCCAGCACTTTGGGAGGCCAAGGTGGGCAGATTGCTTGAGTCCAGGAGTTCAAGACCAGCCTGAACAATATGGCAAAACTCATCTCTACAAGAATTACAAAAATTATTTGGGTGTGGTGGCCCACACCTATAATCCCAGCTACTTAGGAGGCTGGGGTAGAGAATCTCTTAAGCCTGGAAAGCAGAGGTTGCAGTGAGCCAAGATAACCCCACTGCACTCCAGTCTGGGTGACAGAGTGAGACCCCCCCATCTCAGGGAGGAAAAAATGATATATATTTTTTTTCACATTCACACCTTGTTTAAGAGTCAAAATAATATTACCTAGCTAGTTCACTTGCATTAAAGTGACATTAGGCTGTATTTAAAACTCAGGCTCCCTTTCAAAAGATTAAGTTCCAGTACTAATACAGTATACCTCTAGGCATACACTCACCAGATTGAGAAAATTAAGCCTGACTGAAACTTCAAAACGAAAAAGAACTAATTTATAGTTGATTAATCATTCAAAATTTCTGTATTAAATAAAAATTACTTTAATCAAAAGTAAAACACAACAGGATTTGCAACCACATATAATATTCCTTTACACAAAAAGCTCTTGTGATTCACTAAAGGAGAAATAAAAATAGCCAAAGAAGTAAAATTTATTTTCATCCACCAAACTGCCAAAAATGTAGATCAACAAGGCACACTGCAGGTGAGAGCGGGAGGGAAGGAGCTTTTTAACACACTGTGGCTGGAAGTGCACAGCAGCGCCTCTTCCCAGAATGCAGGACACGTACCCAACTTTCTAAGCGCTCTTGGCCTTCAGCCAGCCATTCCACTTGGAGAAATCCATATGAAAGAGATCGCTACCCAAGTAAACCCCCAAAACTGAAAAACACTCACAGAAGGACATTTACTGTTAACAATGTATGTAATATTTCAAATCAGGAGGCAATGTAAATGTCTGCTTTTTTGTAGATAATTGTGTATACATTCTACAGCCATTTAAAATGACCAAGCAGCCAGGCACGGTGGTTAGCATCTGGAGTCCCTGCACTTTGGGAGGCCAAGGCAGGAGGAATTGCTTGAGGCCAGTTCAAGACCAGCCTGGCCAACATCATGAAACCCCGTCTCTACTAAAAACACCAAAATTAGCTGAGTGTGGTGGCATGTGCCTGGGATCCCAGCTGCTTGGGAGGCTGAGGCACGAGAATCACTTGAACCCGAAAGAGAGAGACTGCAGTGTACCAAGACTGCACCACCCACTCCAGCCTGGGTGACAGAGCAAGACTCAGAAATGGAAATGGAAAAATATGCATAATGTACCATGAGAGGAAGAAGTAAGTTACAGAATAGTCCCATGTAAGCAAAACATTATATGGCACAGGGTTATAAATGTAGGAATGTGTAGACACACCATCTGAAATAGAGTAGGTATAGTTACACCTTATCAAAAGAGGTCTGAAAAATTATCCACCAAAATAGGTAAAAGATGTTTGTCCTACGGCTTATACAAAAGTCATCATTTCCTTCTGCAGTTTTAAATATATTTAATAAAAGAATAGATTCTTGTACATGCTACACTAAATTTATTCCCCATTTTATAAACTGAACCCTCCTCCCATCCCCCATCCGAGTTATCTGATGGCAGAACCAGAACCGGAACCTAGCTGGTGGGAGCTCTTTCCCACTCAGGGCCACCTCCCAGGCTCCCCATCCTGTGCCTCAACAACGGTTTCTAACGTGGCCGTCACTGCAACAGAGAAACGCACCACGTGCCTATCATTCTGTCGCTTACCATCCCCATTATGACAGGACTGTCATAAAAACAGGTGGCATTACATGTCACTCAGTTAACAGCACCTTAACCTGACAACATCATCCCTAGGGCGATAAACAGTTTTAGCCTGAAATACGCAATAAAAGAAATGGCACTTCTTGGATTTGGGAGTTTTCAGAAAATTTTTCAGCTATTTAATACATGAAAGAAGAAACTGACTTCAAAAATTCCTCATGATTAAAAACACCTGCCAACTGAGAGAAACCCTTTTAATCCAAAGTCAGACTTCTTTAAAAAATAATAATTTGAATAGCTATTTGTATATTAAGAACAGCACCATTTTAGAAGTACATAAAAGGGGGAAGAGATCCCACTACTGATTCCCATTAAAATACTGTCCCTTACTCCACTTGCAGAACCCTAAAGAAACATTTTTAAAAGCTGAAATACTGCCCTACCTTTTTTGAGGATCTCTTTGAAGTAACCCATCAAGCAAATTGATAAAATCTGAAGAAGCTTTAGGAAGAGAAGAATCTATAAACAAATTAATTTCCAAGAAAAAATAAGTAGTATATACATATCAATTTTATTTTTATATTCTGCATCAACATTTAAAGTCACAGTATTTTAAACACATAAATTATTCATAAGAGAACACTGACTCCGTTAACAATTACATCCTCTACTTAACGAGGAGGATAGGGAGGTACAGAACACAAAGATTAAAAACATTTTTTCCTTGATCACAAAAAAGAAATGTAAATCTCAGCTGGCATGGTGGCTCACGCCTATAATCCCAGCACTTAGGGAGGCCGAGATGGGTGGATCACCTGAGGTCGGAAGTTCGAGACCAGCCTGACCAACATGGAGAAACCCGGTCTCTACTAAAAAAAAAAAAAATTAGCCAAGCATGGTCGCACATGCTTGTAGTCCCAGCTACTCAGGAGGCTGAGGCAGGAGAATTGCTTGAGCCTGGGAGGTGGAGGTTGTGGTGAGCCAAGACTGCGCTATTGCACTCTAGTCTAGGCAGTAAGAGTGAAACTCTTTACTGAACAAAACCAATAAGGATCGCCAGCTTAACAAACTCAAACACTTGTCTTCAACTATTCTGGGTATCTTTTTTTTTTTTTTTTGGACACAGGATCTTGCTCTGTCACCCAGGCTGGAGTGTAGGGGCACAATCAGGGTTCATTCCAGCCTCTACCTGGAGGGCCACTGGCTCAAGTGGTCCTCTCACCCTAGCCTCCGGAGTAGCTGGGACTACAGGCATGCGCCACCACACCTGGGTAATTTTTGTTTATTTTTTGTAGAGATGGGGTCTCACTATGCTGCCTCGGTTAGTCTCAAACTCCTGGGCTCAAGTGATCTACCTGCCTTGGTCTCCTAAAGTGCTAGAATTATAAGTAAGCCACTGCGCCCAGCTCAACTTTTTTTTGTTGTTATTGTTTTTGAGATGGAGTTTCACTCTTGTTGCCCAGGCTGGAGTGCAGTGGCGTGATCTTGGCTCACTGCAACCTCCACCTCCCAGGTACAAGTGATTCTCCTGTCTCAGCCTCCCAAGTAGCTTGGATTACAGGCGTGCACCACCATGCCTGGCTAATTTGTTTGTATTTAGTAGAGTTGGGGTTTCACCATGTTAGTCAGGCTGGTCACTAACTCCTGACCTCAGGGGATCTACCCACCTTGGCCTCCTAAAGTGCTGGGATTACAGGCATGTGCCACCGTGCCTGGCCCCAGCTCAACGATTAATTACACTTTATTCTTTAAAGTATTCCTAACTTGAACAACTTTGCATTATAATGTACTATGATTAGAACATCTGCAATCCCTCTGTTAAGATTTTTAACAGAAATAAAAAGCATTACATTACGACACTGTCCAGTGCCACTAATCTCGTAATATTTTATCTTTCTAAATAAAATGCCACATCCAGGTCATCGGTCTACGGTTAGAAGAAGTAGTAACAGCCACGCACTGTGGCTCCTACTTGAAATCCCAGTACTTTGGAAGGCCAAGGTAGGCGGGTCACTCAAGGCCAGGAGTTCGAGACAAGCCTAGGCAACATAGCAAGTCCCTGTCTCCACAAAACAATTAAAAAATGAGCCATTCCTGGTGGTGAGCACCTGCAGACCCAGCTACTCAGGAGGCTGACTGAACTACTGCACTCCAGCCTGAGGGACACAGCAGGATGCTGTCTCTCAAAAAATCATATACATATATATACATATTAATGTGTATATATATATCTACACACATGTATATATACACATATAAATACAGCAAAGATTTTTGTAGAATCCTGTTTTCATTTATGGGTCTTAAGATAAACTCTAACGACGTACAGCAAAACGTTTTAACATCTTTGCCTTTTTTCTTTCCTTAAAAATTATTGCTGATAGACTGTAATATTAACCACAATTTACATGATTAAAGTTCCAACACTTTAAAAACACTATGACTGTATACAATTTTAAAGATTTTTAAAACTTAGAAGGGTAGCATTCTGATTCATCAAGATAAGGAAGTGGCAGCTTTGTTCCTATTCCAACAGGAGGCAGACAACCACGTGGGATGTGACCACAAAGGACATGCCACACACAAAAAGCTGCGTCACGTAAGGGTTTCAGATGTTGAATCCTTCGAGCTATTCACGTTTTATACAGATGCATGAAATAATTTGTTTTTAAATACGGGAAATCTACTAGTACTTTGTTCTCTGTTTCAGTATCTTTAAAAAAACGGCAAAGGAAGCACTAACATTTCGAAAAATAACAACTTGGGATCACTTATAAAACATAACTTCGGGGACTTATGAATCAATAATAGCAAACTTTGGATAAAGGTACACTCTATTCACTGTAAATGTAAATTAATTCCATTTATCACAAGAAATCTTACCTTTCGGAACAGGTGGCAAAGGATCTTCATATAAGATCTTTTCCGTTAATTCTGAAATACTTTCTGAGAAGAATGGAGGTTTTCCTGAAATCACATGAAAACTTGTAAAATTAAAGACGTTTGCTATCACCAACAATTCTAATTTCATCCACAGATATCTCAAGATTATACAATTTATAGAAAAAATATACAGCAATAGCTAATTATTTAATGCCTTGTATGTACCAGGCACTGTCTATATATTTTCTATTTATCTTAGTTCAAAATGCATCATTCTAACAAATACACAAACACACATACGGACCACTACTGGGAACCATGGTTGGCACGGGCCACGCAACACATCCGAATAATACACAGGTGCAAGCCATCTTCACAAAAATGTCTAACGACTGCACTTTTTGAGTTAGGCATATTTCAGCATTCCAGATTATTACCATGAAAAATTACCTATTTGTCAAAAAGTTCCTAGAAATCTGCCTACGCGTAGATACCAAGCAGCTCTGCCAAAATCAGTATACATAAAAATTTAATAAAGTCAGTTTTTTAGCCAGGCACAGTGGCTCACACTTATAATTTCAGAACTTTGGGAGGCCAAGGCAGATGGATCACTTGAGGCCAGGCGTTCAAGACCAGCCTGACCAACAGAGTGAAACCCTGTCTCTACTAAAAATACAGAAAATAGCCAGGAGTGGTGGCAGGCACCTGGAACCTCAGCTACTCAGGAGGCTGAGGAAGGAGAATCGCTTGAACCCAGGAGGCAGAGGCTGCAGTGAGCCGAGATTGTACCAGTGCATTCCAGCCTGGGTGACAGAGCAAGACTCTCTCAAAAAAAAAAAAAAAAAATCAGGTTTTTTGACATCTTATAGGTAAAACATCCACAAACTATAGACTTAACCTGGTTTTGTTTTAGTCAAGCTCTGATTTTCTACCTATTCAGGAAACAATTACCTGCAAACATTTCATAAAGCAGACAGCCCAAAGACCAGAGGTCGCTGGAGATGGAAAAGTCGGTACCCCTCACAACTTCTGGTGCTGTATATGTAGGAGATCCTAAAAGCAGGGCATGAAGAACAGCTCTGTTAGGCATCTGTACTGCTGCCAACACGGACCTGCCTAGGAGAGGCCTGATGAGATGCAAATGCGCAGGAGAGGAACAGACGCACGAATAAAACTTCCTGTGCATTTCACATTTGTAAATGTTTCCTAATTTTAAGGTTACATTTTGCAGATGGGTGTGAATTTAAAATCTTTTAAATTTCAATTAGAATAGTTTAAGCAGCAGTAACAACCCCAACATCCCACCGGCTTCACAGCAAAGGTTTACCTATCACTAGACATGTCCGTAACAAATCTCCTAAGAAGCTTTGCTCCTCACAGTCACGCAAAGACCCAGGCTAAGAGAGGCTCCAGCTCCGCTCATGCTTCCTCAGTTGGAGGCAGGGAGACAGAACGCAGCTGACTCAACACTGGCTCCCACCTCAAAGTCACTCACATCACTTCTGCTCACACACACCGGCTTTGACAGGGGGAGGGCGCAATCCTACCGTGCATCCAGGAGAATCCGAAACACTGAGGGAAAAGCACTCACGTGTGCCACATACACTTTATACAAAGTTTAACATTACACAGAAATTTCATATCTTAGAGCCAGAAAGTCCCCTCATTCACTGACAAGAGAAAAGGAAGCTTTAGGGGGGTATGGAAGCTCCACTTCATCACACAGCTGGGCACTGCAGAGCACCGGCCAAGGCCAGGGTCCTTGTCTCTCCCTGGCGCACACTCTGTCCATTCCATCTAACAAATTCCCACCTCCCAGGGAGAATCTTTTCTCTAGGAAGTAAGTAACCTCCAATGATCTGGAAACAAAATTCCCCTGAGGTAGGCCTCCCAGCAAACCCTACATCCAGAGCCCACGACAGCCAGATCAGCAGCTTCGTGTGCCCTGAGGGGGACTCCAAAGTTCTCCCGTGGAGGATTTCCGCTGCGCTATCACACTGCATCTGCAAAGCTCTCCCGTGGAGGGTTTCCGCTGCGCTATCACACGGCATCTGCAAAGCTCTCCCGTGGAGGGTTTCCGCTGCGCTATCACACGGCATCTGCAAAGCTCTCCCGTGGAGGGTTTCCGCTGCGCTATCACACGGCATCTGCAAAGCTCTCCCGTGGAGGGTTTCCGCTGCGCTATCACACGGCATCTGCAAAGCTCTCCCGTGGAGGGTTTCCGCTGCGCTATCACACGGCATCTGCAAAGCTCTCCCGTGGAGGGTTTCCGCTGCGCTATCACACTGAATCTGCAACGCTCTCCCGTGGAGGGTTTCCGCTGCGCTATCACACTGAATCTGCAAAGCTCTCCCGTGGAGGGTTTCCGCTGCGCTATCACACTGAATCTGCAAAGCTCTCCCGTGGAGGGTTTCCGCTGCGCTATCACACTGAATCTGCAAAGCTCTCCCGTGGAGGGTTTCCGCTGCGCTATCACACGGCATCTGCAAAGCTCTCCCGTGGAGGGTTTCCGCTGCGCTATCACACGGCATCTGCAAAGCTCTCCCGTGGAGGGTTTCCGCTGCGCTATCACACGGCATCTGCAAAGCTCTCCCGTGGAGGGTTTCCGCTGCGCTATCACACGGCATCTGCAAAGCTCTCCCGTGGAGGGTTTCCGCTGCGCTATCACACTGAATCTGCAAAGCTCTCCCGTGGAGGGTTTCCGCTGAGCTATCACACTGCATCTGCGAAGTTCTCCCGTGGAGGATTTCTGCTGCGCTATCACACTGAATCTGCGAAGTTCTCCCGTGGAGGGTTTCCGCTGCGCTATCACATGGCATCTGCAAAGCTCTCCCGTGGAGGATTTCCGCTGCGCTATGACACTGCATCTGCAAAGTTCTCCCGTGGAGGATTTCTGCTGCGCTATCACACTGAATCTGCAAAGCTCTCCCGTGGAGGGTTTCCGCTGAGCTATCACACTGCATCTGCGAAGTTCTCCCGTGGAGGATTTCTGCTGTGCTATCACATTTCATACACATCCACAGAAGGCATATTTGCCTGCACTAGATGTTGAGGAAACAGAGACAAATAATGCCCATGGAACGCACTTTTACTCTGCCCAACACTAAATAGATGTTTCGTTAATATTTGTTGAATATGAATATTTGTTTTCCTGTCCTTCCTTCTAGTACCTAGAACATGCCTAAACTAGTCAAGTTAAGAAATAAATGTGGGCCAGGTGCTGTGGCTCACACCTGTAATCCCAGCACCTTGAGAGGCCAAGGCAGGCAGATCACCTGAGGCCAGTAGTTCAAGACCAGCCTGATCAACATAGTGAAAGCCCATCTCTACTAAAAACACAAAAATTATCTGGGCATGGTGGAGGGTGCCTGTAATCTCAGCTACATGGGAGGTTGAGGCAGGAGAATCACTTGAATCTAGTAGGTGAAGGTTGCAGTGAGCCAAGAGCACACCACTGCACTCCAGCCTGCGTAACAAAGCAAGACTCTGTCTCAAAAAATACACCAATGTGGAATTAATGAATAAATGCACTAATGAACAATGGAATTAAAGTCCCGGGGTTCACACACAAATGGGTAGAAAAAAAACACACTGAACAGCATATTATTACATGGTAAGTTAAATGGTTTATGCACAAAACATGAAAGTTATAAAAGAAAACAACACTTAAGTATTCAGTCTGATAAAATCTTGCCACCCAGACAGACAAAGAAGTAAGGGAGTCTTTCTCAACAAAGCTGAAGCCAGGCTGGGTGCGGGGCTCACGACTGTAATCCCAGCACCTTGGGAGGCTGAGGAGGGAGGATCACCTGAGGTCAGGAGTTCAAGACCAGCCTGGCCAACACGGCAAAACCCCATTTCTACTAAAAATACAAAAATTAGCCAGGCATGGTGGCACACGCCTGCAGTCCCAGCTACTCGGGAGGCTGAGGCAGGAGAATTGCTTGAACCCAAAAGGTAGAGGTTGCAGTGAGCCAAGATTGCGCCAACGCACTCCAGCCTGGGCAACAGAGTGAGACTCCATCTCAAAATTAAAATTTAAATTAAATTAAATTTTAAAAAATGAAATAAGAAAGCTGAAGTCGGGGCTGGGTACAGTGTACAAGCCTGTAGTCCTAGGTACTTGGAAGGCCAAGGCAGGAGGCTTACTTGAGGCCAAGTCTGAGACGAGCCTGGGCAGCACAGCCAACTCCAGTCTACAAAAACTGTAAGAACTTGCCAGGCATAGTGGCACACATCTGCAGGCCCAGCTACTCAGGAGGCTGAGGTGGGGAATCGCTTCAGTCCAGGAGCTCAAGGTCAGAGTGAGCTATGATCACTCCACTGCAAGATGAAAGGAAGGGAGCAGAGGGGAGGAAACGGGAGACAAGAGAAAGAAACAAGAACCAAGAGCAAGGGCGCGGCGTGAGCAGCTGTGCAACACACGCAGGAAACCGTGAAGACGACGTGTTGCTGCAATATAAGGCCAAGGGTGGGGTTAGGGGTGAGGGGGTGGGGTTAAGGGGTGAGGGGTGGGGTAAAGGGGTGAGGGGGTGGGGTTAGGGGTGGGGTGGGGTTAGGGGTGAGGGGGTGGGGTTAGGGGGTGAAGGGGTGGGGTGAAGGGGTGGGATTAGGGGTGAGGGGTGGGGTTAGGGGTGAGGGGGTGGGGTTAAGGGGTGAGGGGGTGGGATTAGAGGTGAGGGGTGGGGTTAGGGGGTGAAGGGGTGGGGTTAAGGGGTGAGGGGGTGGGATTAGGGGTGAGAGGTGGGGTTAGGAGGTGAGGGGTGGGGTTAAGGGGTGAGGGGTGGGGTTAAGGGGTGAGTGGGTGGGGTTAAGGGGTGAGGGGGTGGGATTAGGGGTGAGGGGGTGGGGTTAGGAGGTGAGGGGGTGGGGTTAAGGGGTGAGGGGGTGGGGTTAGGAGGTGAGGGGGTGGGGTGAGGGGTGAGGGGGTGGGGTTAAGGGGTGAGGGGGTGGGGCCTGGGGGTGATGGGGAAGATGGGATGAGAACTGTTAGTCTGGGCCCCCCAAGAAGCAGTCGCCAAGGCAAGATTATCCACACAAGGATTTTATTACAGGAAGCACCTATGAGAAAAAATGTGCTCAGACTACAGTGTACGGTGGACTGGAAGCCAAGAGAAAGGGAAGGAAGATTAGATGAAATCATCCTTAGATAGATGCCATGAAGTCTTAAGAAAGCTTCTTCAGGGTCATCAAGAATCCCTGAACCAGGCCAGGCACGGTGGCTCACGCCTGCAATGCCAGCACTTTGGGAGGCCGAGGTGGGTGGATCATCTGAGGTCAGGAGTTCGAGACCGGCCTGGGCAACGTGGTGAAATCTCATCTCTAATAAAAACACAAAAAAATTAGCCAGGCATGCTGGCAGGCGCCTGTAACCCAAGCTACTCGGGAGGCTGAAGCAAGAGAATCATCTGAACCTGGGAGGCACAGGTTTCTGCACTGAACCGAGATCACGCCACTGCACCCCAGCCTGGGCAACAAGAGTGAGACACTGACTCAAAAAAAAAAAGATTCACTGAACCAGGCTGGGCACAGTGGCCCATGTCTGTAATCCCAGCACTTTAGGAGGCCAAGGTGGGCAGACTACTTGAGGTCAGGAGTTTGAGACCAGCCTGGCCAACATGGTGAAACCCCATCTCTACTAAAAATACAAAAATTAGCTGGCATGGTGGTGGTGTGCACCTGTAATCCCAGCTACTCAGGAGGCTGAGGCAGTAGAATTGCTCGAACCCAGAGGCAGAGGTTGCAGTGAGCTGAGATCAAGCCACTGCACTCCAACCTGGGCAACAGAGCAAGACTCCATCTCAAAATAATAACAATAATAATAATAATCCCTGAAGCAATGTCGCCCACCAGAGTGCCTCCCAGGAGTAGGCCTGCCTTACTGTCCCCTCCAAGCTTAGCCATTAGCTGGGTGCAGTCATGAGAAGCTGGCCTCACTCTAAAAGCACTGGTGGATTTCTTCAAGCAGGCGGAGGCCTTGCTTAGTTGCACCTGCAGTTGAAGGACCGTGAAACACGTTCTTGTGGCCACCGCAAGAACAGACAGGCAATGCAGGGCCAGATCCTGGAACCTGAACTCCAACCTGCAGGTAGGGGATCCTAAATTTGAAACTCTTTTCATAAATCGGCCCAGATTTATAATTTCTCTCAATCAACATTAGGTCAAAATTGAGCCTAGTTTGACATAACTTCCATCAATCCCTCTTAAACTGGGCCACATCATTGGTTTATATAACTTTTCTGTCCCTGAATTTTGCAACTATGATCCAGCCAACCTCCATTCCCCTAATTTTCCACAGGAAATTAAAATTCCTAGCAGCTATGTGACACTACTCTGAAAGTTACAAGAAGCAAAGCAGAACCAGAATCCAGGTATTTCTGCCCTGACATCAGCGTCTACGTGAACGGATTCTTTATGGCTGCACACCACCACTGACCCATCATCAACGCCACCACAGCACCCGACTGGTCACATATGGCAAAAGGCTGGGTGATTATTTTTCATGTGCCTTGTTCATTGCCACACTTAAGAATGAATTAAGAAGAATTAAGACTCATAAAGAGATTTAGACTCAATGAGACAGAAAATTAATAAGGATATCCAGGACTTGAACTCAGATCCGGAACAAGTAAACTCAATAAATATTTATAGAACTCTCCACTTTAAATACACAAAATATACATTCTCCACCTTAAATACACAAAATATTGATCGGCCATTATTAATACCCATTTTTAGAATAAAGCTACATTCCTGTTCTCTCTCCCTCTTTTTCTTTCTCTTTTTTCCTCTCCTTCACTCCTTTTTTTCTTTCTTTCAAAAAAATAATAATAATAAATTCTCAGCCGGGCGCAGTGGCTCAAGCCTGTAATCCCAGCGCTTTGGGAGGCCGAGGCAGGTGGATCACAAGGTCAAGAGATCGAGACCATCCTGGTCAACACGGTGAAACCCCATCTCTACTAAAAATACCAAAAAAAAATTAGCTGGGCATTGTGGTGCGTGCCTGTAATCCCAGCTACTCAGGAGGCTGAGGCAGGAGAACTGCCTGAACCCAGGAGGCGGAGGTTGCGGTGAGCCGAGATCGCGCCATTGCACTCCAGCCTGGGTAACAAGAGCGAAACTCCGTCTCAAAAAAAAAAAAGACTGAATTCTCAGTCTCCAGGAAAACGGAAGTGGTTTTACACTTTATCTTAATACCACGGGGATGTGAAGGTTAATTGCCTACGAAGTACATGATCCCCAAAAGTCAGCGCTGATTCTACCCTGCTGGCTGCAAACAGACCAACCTGCCCTGTCAGAGACTGCTCTTAGATTAAGCTCAGAAGTAAGCATCACTGCTAGAACTTCTGGCCTGTTTCTCCAAAACACAGCTCTCTTCCCCGTGCTAAACCTGTATTTACACTGACATATACCGCTAGGTCCAACCTGCAGACCCTGACCCAGCAACGGATGAACAAATGCACTCAGACACAGATAATCAGTAAAAGGGCAGGCTAGGGGTCCGGGCCACTCACAGACACCAAGGAGGGTGCCATAAAGAGTCAGGAGTCACAGCCCTGACCAAGGCATTTATTTAGTATAGATTCAGTGACAAAGGCTTTGAGTCAACACACTTGTGGAAAATTAACATTGCTGACCCCCACCCCTCAGTAGAGAGCAGGTAGAATGATCAAAGGTCGGTCCCAGGACCACATGAGTAAAGAAGCTCTTTAGAGAAATTCCCCACACTCCCTTGTTATTTGCTTTTTGCTCTTTTAGTGCAAGAGGATTAGGCTGCCTTCAGCTATAAATCTGTCCTGAGGCTTCTGCAAAACCTTCCGGCCTTCCCAGAAGGTTTGCATCTATTTTACAATTTTTCCCACCACCCTGACTGAACCCCTACAATACACTGACCTTGTTTTCTACAATAAAATTTTACACAATTCAAAACTTCATATCCTACTAACATAGACCACAATAGTCACTTTCACAGAATTCAGATAATTCTGTGAAATGCAATTTGAGGACATTAAAAGCCTTCTTCTTGGGCATGAAATCTTATCATATACAAGCTGGGCCTGAAACTTTCATTTCCTTTAGTCCTACTTATGAGGCCTACGACTGACCTGCTGTTCCCCGTCCTCCTCCCTCATCCCTGGCCACACGACTAGCAAGTCCAGGGATCTGCCACCCTCTGAGTGCCCTTTCCTTCAACCGCCACCCAGCTCAGCTGACAGCATGAGGAGTGTCACAGCTTCGACGGCCCATCGTCTCCAGTACCTGGACATAAAACTTGAGGAGGAAAGAGCTTTACCACGTGCCCCAAAAGGTATAAGAAACATCACTTCAGACTCTCCCCTCGAGTATAGCAATTTGAATACCCCTGGCCCCATTTCACATGCCAAGAATACACCCCAGAAAAAGGCTTCAACTGCAGAATATCATTCACTTGACTAATTTCTACTGAGCCACTGATACACGAGACACCATTCCCCGCCTATGTGCTAATTAGTGCTCAGTAAAACATAAAGCTAAGGGCAAAATACAGACTCTGTTAAAGTTTCTCCAGGCCTGACAGAGTAGGTCCACACTGAATACTTCAGGCACGCAGAAAGCCATCCTATGTAGAGACTTTGTCTGCTGGCCATTATCATTTTCAATAGGTTATTTGACTGGCAAAACAAAAGACTGACACTCTCCTCAACACAGGCGTGGCATGCTCCACAAGGAGAGTTAGACCTTTAAGTTTCCCAGGTCCACATACCTCTGACTCGACTTTTCATGCTTTTCTTCAGGACATTCTCTCCACCGTCACCTCCTCCTTCTTCTGCTGCCACCAAAGCAAAAAACTCTTCCAAATTTTCACCTTGAACTTTTGCCAAGCAAAAGTTGCTAAACTTCAGTGTGCCAGGCCCTTCCAAGAGTATCTACGAGGAACAAATAGATGTTTTCAGAAAAAATTTAGCTTTGTTTGTACATAAATCAGTACCTCTTATAATTGCACTAGAGAACTTTTGAGCACTGGCATTCTTTCTCTATCAGAACTCAGAAAAACAAACGCTCATAATATTTCTAAAAAGCTAAAGAAAAACAAATCCAACTTTTCATAATCAAATAAAAAACTAAATTACTCATTCTCAGATATAATGAGCACACTGTGTAACCACTGTAGAAAACCTCAGGTCTGGGGAAGGTAAGCCACGAAGAGAATACAACAATCTGCACTTGCAGAGTCGGGACTGAAGTCACCGCACCTGCCTGCGTGTGTTCACGTGAGGACATGACGCAGACTCAGGACTGGTCACCGCACCTGCCTGCGTGTGTTCACGTGAGGACATGACGCACAGTCGGGACTGAAGTCACCGCACCTGCCTGCGTATGTTCACGTGAGGACATGACGCAGACTCAGGACTGAAGTCACCGCACCTGCCTGCGTGTGTTCACGTGAGGACATGACGCAGACTCAGGACTGGTCACCGCACCTGCCTGCGTGTGTTCACGTGAGGACATGACGCAGACTCAGGACTGGTCACCGCACCTGCCTGCGTGTGTTCACGTGAGGACATGACGCAGACTCAGGACTGGTCACCGCACCTGCCTGCGTGTGTTCACGTGAGGACATGACGCAGACTCAGGACTGGTCACCGCACCTGCCTGCGTGTGTTCACGTGAGGACATGACGCAGACTCAGGACTGAAGTCACCGCACCTGCCTGCGTGTGTTCACGTGAGGACATGACGCAGACTCAGGACTGGTCACCGCACCTGCCTGCGTGTGTTCACGTGAGGACATGACGCAGACTCAGGACTGGTCACCGCACCTGCCTGCGTGTGTTCACGTGAGGACATGACGCAGACTCAGGACTGGTCACCGCACCTGCCTGCGTGTGTTCACGTGAGGACATGACGCAGACTCAGGACTGAAGTCACCGCACCTGCCTGCGTGTGTTCAAGTGAGGACATGACGCAGACTCAGGACTGGTCACCGCACCTGCCTGCGTGTGTTCACGTGAGGACATGACGCAGACTCAGGACTGGTCACCGCACCTGCCTGCGTGTGTTCACGTGAGGACATGACACAGACTCAGGACTGGTCACCGCACCTGCCTGCGTGTGTTCACGTGAGGACATGACGCAGACTCAGGACTGGTCACCGCACCTGCCTGCGTGTGTTCACGTGAGGATATGACGCAGACTTAGGACTGGTCACCGCACCTGCCTGCGTGTGTTCACGTGAGGACATGACGCAGACTCAGGACTGAAGTCACCGCACCTGCCTGCGTGTGTTCACGTGAGGACATGACGCAGACTCAGGACTGGTCACCGCACCTGCCTGCGTGTGTTCACGTGAGGACATGACGCAGACTCAGGACTGGTCACCGCACCTGCCTGCGTGTGTTCACGTGAGGATATGACGCAGACTCAGGACTGGTCACCGCACCTGCCTGCGTGTGTTCACGTGAGGACATGACGCAGACTCAGGACTGAAGTCACCGCACCTGCCTGCGTGTGTTCAAGTGAGGACATGACGCAGACTCAGGACTGGTCACCGCACCTGCCTGCGTATGTTCACGTGAGGACATGACGCAGACTCAGGACTGGTCACCGCACCTGCCTGCGTGTGTTCACGTGAGGACATGACGCAGACTCAGGACTGGTCACCGCACCTGCCTGCGTATGTTCACGTGAGGACATGACGCAGACTCAGGACTGGTCACCGCACCTGCCTGCGTGTGTTCACGTGAGGACATGACGCAGACTCAGGACTGGTCACCGCACCTGCCTGCGTGTGTTCACGTGAGGACATGACGCAGACTCAGGACTGAAGTCACCGCACCAGCCTGCGTGTGTTCAAGTGAGGACATGACGCAGACTCAGGACTGGTCACCGCACCTGCCTGCGTGTGTTCACGTGAGGATATGACGCAGACTCAGGACTGGTCACCGCACCTGCCTGCGTGTGTTCACGTGAGGACATGACGCAGACTCAGGACTGGTCACCGCACCTGCCTGCGTGTGTTCACGTGAGGACATGACGCAGACTCAGGACTGGTCACCGCACCTGCCTGCGTGTGTTCAAGTGAGGACATGACGCAGACTCAGGACTGGTCACCGCACCTGCCTGCGTGTGTTCACGTGAGGACATGACGCAGACTCAGGACTGGTCACCGCACCTGCCTGCGTGTGTTCAAGTGAGGACATGACGCAGACTCAGGACTGGTCACCGCACCTGCCTGCGTGTGTTCACGTGAGGATATGACGCAGACTCAGGACTGGTCACCGCACCTGCCTGCGTGTGTTCACGTGAGGACATGACGCAGACTCAGGACTGGTCACCGCACCTGCCTGCGTGTGTTCACGTGAGGACATGACGCAGACTCAGGACTGGTCACCGCACCTGCCTGCGTGTGTTCACGTGAGGACATGACGCAGACTCAGGACTGGTCACCGCACCTGCCTGCGTGTGTTCACGTGAGGACATGACGCACAGTCGGGCCTGAAGTTGGAGATGTGGATTTTAAACCCGGGTCCACCATTTACTTGGTGTCTGACCTTGAAGAATTTATTTAACCTTTTTAATCCCCAGTCTCTTCACCTGTAAAATGGGGAAATGATACCTAACTCTTCAGACTGCTGTATGGATTAATCGAGTTAAACATGTAAAGCGTCTGTAACAGTCGCTGGTAGGTGGTGAGAGTCTCCTAGTATAATTTGTGATTAGAAGCCATGGATTGTTGAAAACATGCCAGGAACTAACATTCCGTTACTTTTATCATTTCCTCTATTAAAAGTATTTCTAGATCAGTGCAATGGGTCAGGTGGCTTTGTGGCTTTTCAAAGCAATGTAGGGTCAAATGCAGTGGTTCACGCCTATATTCCCAGCACTTTGGGAGGCTGAGGTGGGTAGATCACTGAGGGCCAGGAGTTTGAGACCAGACTGGCCAACATGGTAAAACCCCATCTCTACTCAAAATACAAAATTTAGCTGGGCATGGTGATGGGTGGCTGTAGGCCCAGCTACTCGGGAGGCTGAGGCACCAGAATTGCTTGAACCTGAAGGGAGAGGTTGCAGTGAGCCAAGGCTGCACCACTGCATTCCAGCCTGCATGAGAGCAAGACCCTGTCTCAAAAAAAATAAAAGTAAAAATAAATAAAATAAAGGCAACGTGAAGTTAAATCTTACCTTCTAGTCACAAACACATAGTAAGGATGTCTGCTGGTCTACGATAGAGGCTTTTACACTCATGTGAGCATCACAGGCCCCTGGAGGACTTGTTAAAGCACAAAGGACCAGTCACTACCCCCCGAGTTTCTGATTCAACAGATCTGGGATGGAGCCTATTTCTACCACATCCCAGGTCAGGCTGATGCTGCTGGTCCAGAGGACCACCGGCGTGGATCAGCAAACACTTTTGCTGTTGGTAAAGAGCCGGCCAGTAAATATTTTAGACCTTATGAGCCATACAGTCTGTCTTCACTTCAATCCTGTTGCACAGCGGTAGCCACTGACAGCACATACAGCAGAGACTGTGGCCGTGCGCCACTCAGAGTTCATTCACTAAAACTGGAATCCAGCCCAACCTGTGCTAACCCCCGTTCCGGAACGCAGGTTCAGGTCACAAAGCGGCCTGACCTTCTCACATCCTAACACTCAACAGCTCCCGCACAGATTTCAGCAAACTACAGCCTCTGGGACAATCCCTGGCCACTGCCTGCTTTTGTACAGCTAGGAACCAAGAGTGTTGAATTTAAGAAAAAAAAACTATCTGAAAACTGCCACACACAAAAAAAAAATGTGGTTTTTGGCCAGGAATGGTGGCTCACGCCTATAAATCCCAACACTTTGGGAGGCCAAGAGAGGAGGATCACCTGAGGTCAGGAGTTTAAGATCAGCCTGGCCAACATGGTGAAACTCCGACATTACTAAAAATACAGAAATCAGCTACGTGCCTCTAGTCCCAGCTACTCGGGAGGCTGAGGCAGGAGAACTGCTTGAACCCGGGTTGCAGAGTTTGCATCACTGCACTCTGTCTCTGGGCGACAGAGAGATTCTGTCTCAAAAAAAAAGTAGTTTTTATATTTCTAAATGGTTTAGAAAAAAAAATGTCTAGACAGGTGACAATGAATTACATGAAACCCACATTTCCATATCCATGAATGAAGTATTGAAATACAGCCACATCCAGGTATTTACAGGCTGTCTGCGGCTGCTTTCAGCCCTGTAATGACAGCTGAGTAGCTGCAGACTTGAGGCACACATCTGAGTATCTCAAACAAGAACTACTATTCATTATACGGGATTTTATAGAGGTTTTTTTTAGCTTTAATTATCTTCTCATACAGATGGCCTACAAAAATAAAATTTCTAGTGAAAATAAAATTTCTGATTTCTAAATGAAATATTCAGCTTTTGATTTCATTGGCATAAATTAAAGGAAACGTAAAAACTTAAACCAGTAATATGTACAATTCCTCGGAGTATGTACTTACAAAGACAAGTATTGACATCGCTGTGAGCCCGCTACTTACCAAAAAGTATTCTAGAAACTTAACCTAAATATAATAGGTAATCCTCACCAGTACCTTGAAAATTCTATCTCCATGTGACAAAGAAACTAAGGCAAAGACAGGCAGGGTAACTTGTCCAGGTTCACACGGCTTCTAAGTGCAAGCGTTGATTGCAACTCAGAAACCAAGCAGGTTTCACAACTCCACTACATGGAAGCAGAGTTAGTTGTGAATAATTTTACCAAAAGAGAAAATATGTGATCCATAATATCAGGAATCATACATATATAGCCAAGAATGCCACTATCAAGCTAAAATAATAATGTTTTCTAAACGTGTCCGATGACTTTGGAGCTAAGAGGGCCTTACCTTACAGACCTACTGTGTTCATCATATACAATATAGGTTAGCAGCATTAAGGCATTACTCAAAGAACTCTGACAGGGAGACTTCACATTCAAAAAGCAGCTTCGGCACCTAAAATACAGTACCATGTACTTCCTTTTATTTACTTATTTCTTTTTTTTTTTTTTTTTGAGACGGAGTCTTGCTCTGTCACCCAGGCTGGGTACAATGGTGGCCCAATCTCGGCTCACTGCCACCTCTGCCTCCCAGGTTCAAGCAATTCACCTGCCTCAGCTTCTCGAGTAGCTGGAATTTCAGGCATCTGCCACCACACCTGGCTAATTTTTGTGTTTTTAGTAGAGACAGGGTTTAGCCATGTTGGCCAGGCTAGTCTCAAACTCCTGACCTCAAGTGATCCACCTGCCTCGGCCTCCCAAAATGCTGGGATTACAGGCATGAGCCACCATGCCTGGCCTCCTTTTATTTTTAAAAAAAAAAAGTTTAACTTAAAATTTCAAGATGTTCTACACCAAAATTTTATCTAAAAATAAAAACATCTTTGAGAAAGCACTCTAAATTGAGACAGAAGCAGTTAGGAAATAAAAACCTTTCATGAATTACCTTCTCAGGAGAAATGTCACAAAAGAGAATGCCAAGTTTATGAAGATGATGTAATCCAGTAATCAGGTCAATTCCAAATTCTCTCACAACATCTTCTGGGAGGTTTTCATCTTGAGCAATAACTGTTTTTAAGGAACCACCTGCAAGAAGTTGATTAAAATCATCCACTTCAACCCACTGCCGTCCCCGAGTGCCCGAGAGGTTCCATGCTGACAGATGCCAACATTAAAAACTGATCAAGATCATCAACCCCAACAGTCTGCTGGAGGAGCACGTAGGTGGGTGAACACAGTGGCCCGAGCACTTCCACAGAAGTCTACGCCCAAGCACCAGAGACAGATTCAGGAAACTGCCTGCTCCCTACGGACGAATGGTGAGAGGCAAGCAAGGTGAAAGGATAATAATCCTAACAGCTGCAAGTATTAACGGTAAATACAACTCCAAAACGGTGCACTTACATCACATTACGCAAAGTACAGTCAGATCACCTTCCGCAAAGTGCTGCACAGCAAAAAAGACTATGCTCTTTAGATAATCACACCCCTTAGCATGCACCATTGATGAAATATAAGGCCGACGTCAGGTGCACTGAGAATCCCACTGCTATATCCTTCTCCACCAGTTACTTCTCTTCCCAGTTACTTCTCTACCAGTAAAGTGCCAGAAACAAACTTTTTTTTTTTTTTGAGACGGAGTTTCTCTCTCGTTGGCCAGTCTGGAGTGCAATGGTGCAATTGCAGCTCAAAGCAACCTCCACCTCTCGGGTTCAAGCGATTCTCCTGTCTCAGCCTCCCGAGTAGCTGGGATTACAGGCATGTGCCACTGTATCTGGGTAATTGTGTTTTGTGTTTTTTGTTTTTTTTGAGACGAAGTCTCCCTCTGTTGCCAGGCTGGAGTACAGTGGCACAATCTTGGCTCACTGCAACCACAATCTCCCGGGTTCAAGTGATTCTCTTGCTTCAGCTCCCGAGTAGCTGGGATTACAGACGTCTGCCACCACGTCCGGTTTTTTGTTTTTTTTTTGTATTTTTAGTAGAGATGGGGTTTCACCACATTAGCCAGGATGGTCTCGATCTCCTGACCTTGTGATCCTCCTGCCTCGGCCTCTCAAAGTGCTGGGATTACAGGCAAGAGCCACCGCGCCAGGCCAATTTTGTATTTTTATAGTAGAAACAGGATTTCTCCATGTTGGTCAGACTGGTCTGAAACTCCCAACCTCAGGTGATCCGCCCACCTCGGCCTCCCAAAGTGTTGGGATTACAGGTGTGAACCACCACGCCCACCACAAACTGTTTCTTAAAGGGTCAAGATTACAACAGCCAATCCATGAATGGATGAATCGATAAAGAAAATATGGTACATATCCACAATGGAGTAGTAGTCAGCCATAAAAAAGAGATTTTGTCATTTGCAACAACTTGGTTAAAACTGGAGGTCATTATGTTAAGTGAAATAAGCCAGGTACAGAAAGACAAACATCGAATCTTCTCACTCATTTGTGGGAGCTGAAAATTATTTGAAATCATGGAGATAGAGAACAGAAGAATGGCTCCCGGAGGTGGCAGGGGAGTGGGGATGGCATTTGGAATAAATGGAATAAATAAGAACTAGTATTTGATGATACAACAGGGTGGCTGAAGTCAGTACTAATTTAACTGTACATTTTTAAATAACTAAAAGAATGTAATTGCATTGTAACACAAAGGACAAATGCTTGAGGAAATGGACACCCCGTCTACCCTGCTGTGCTTCTTACACACGGCACGCCTGTACCAACGTATCTCATGTACCCCATAAATATTCATTTACGTACCTACTAAAGAGCCACAAAAGTTAAAAATTAACACAACAGCTAAATTCAGAAAAAGTCTCTGCTGGCATTGGAAAGCTGAATAAGAACTACCATAATGAAGGGAAGAGGCATTTGGGGTTTTCTTCATTTTGTTTTGGTGGGCGAGGGGCCGTCACAGATGCAGGCATGTTTTACGGTTCGGGTTTTGCACCTGGTCAGAGGTCAGAAATAACAGCTTAAGCAAAAACTAATTACAGGACGATCCCTTGATGACCTTGCCAATGCGTACATCTGTGGAAGTAATTCAACCACAATGCTGTCCTACTGATTCAAAAATAAAATCAAATAAGTTATTAATCCAAATTACTTCTTTAAGAAGAAGTTTTATAAATTCCAAGTATCAATATGTTGGATTCACAAAGCTAGCAATAAGTATATCGTATTTAATTATCCTCTATTGTTACTAACATATACAGAGTACACAATAGTAGTACTTACTAGGAGTTAATGGTAGCTCTTAGTACTGATTACATTTTTGGCCTGTTTACCTCCTAAAACTTTGAAACCAAAAGCCCAGATGATACGTATCTAGTCACCTTTCTCCCTGTTCAGTCCCACAAGGCTGTATGGAGCAACAGCTGTAAGTGTGGGTTCATCTTTGTACCTTTCCACATTGCTTAAAATTTTATGAGGTACAGAATGCGTCTCATAAAAACTAAAGATACTTTAAAAATTTACTAGTTAATTAATAGCTACTCAACTTAAAATGTTTGTTTTTATGGGGAAAATGTTTTTGATAAATTCATCATCACTTTAAAACATTTCTAATTTTTTATGTATGTAATGTAATACCAAAGTCAAGTCAACCCAAAACTGAATTTACATAATTCTTCTTCCCAGACGCCTTTGCTCTTTACCCTTCCCTGAAATCCACAGAACAATAGATTTTCAAGTTAACATAGTAAATAACATCAACACAACTTATATTTACAAGATAAAAGGAAAGTAACGAAACTTACAGCATTTTTTTCCAATACCGTATTCATAGCACTTCTTACATACGCTTTCTTACCTGTGCAGAGTTCCACTACTAGCCAGAGGTGATTGCTGGTTTCATACCATTCATGAAAAGTAACAATATTCTTGTGTTTAATTTCATGGGTGAGACGGACCTATAAAAACACAGAGCATTCACTCTAAAAAGAAATTCCTAAAGCTCTTACCTCTACTGAGAAAAACCTAAATATGCAATTAGTAAGTGGATAAGAAAATGGTGACATTTATTTGGTGAAATTCTGTACAGTTATTAGAAATGATGATTATGAAGGGTAATTATTACACAGAAAAACACGAACTTAAAAAGAAACTTTCTTGGACATGCACAGTGGCTCACACCTATAATTCCAGCACTTTGGGAGACTGAGGCAGGCAGATCACTTGAGGTCGGGAGTTCAAGATCAGGCTGACCAAGATGGTGAAACCCCATCTCTACTGAAAATACAAAAATTGGCCAGACATGGTGGCACACATCTGTAATCCCAGCTACTCGGGAGACTGAGGCAGGAGAACTGCTTGAACCCAGGAGGCAGAGGTTGTAGCATGCCAAGATCACGACACTGCACCCTAGCTTGGGCGACAGAGCAAGACTCCATCTCTAAATAAATAAATAATTTTTTTAAAAACTTGTGTAATACTCTTTTGTCTGTCTGTGTAAACACAAATTTGCATAAGAATTATTTATAGGAAAATGACCAGAAGATATTCACCAACATAGCTACTTTTATTGGTTAAACTGCTGGTGTTTCTAATTCTTTTCTCTCATTTTCTATCGTCTATACTAAAACACACTACTTTTTAAGCCAAGGAAGAAGAAATAATTTTAAAGGAAAAACTTTTTGCTAAGTAAACATAACCTAAATACTCAATAACACAATAGTTAACTTGTATTATCTAATAAGTATCATCAACATTAAAATGTTTACTTAACACATAGAGGAATGAGTATTATCATGTTAAGTGAAAAGGGTAAGAAACAAAATTATACCATGGCTAACACATTTTTAAAAACCCTCAAAAACTAGAAGGAAACAAACCAAGACATGAGCAATGATTATTATTTTATTTTTTTTGAGACAGACTCTTGCTCTGTCACCCAGGCTGGAGTGCAGTGGTGTGATCTGGGCTCACCGCAACCTCTGCCCCCAGGTTCAAGCAATTCTCTGCCTCAGCCTCCTGAGTAGCTGGGATTACAGGCACACACCACCATGACCAACTAATTTTGGTATTTTTAGTAGAGACAAGGTTTCGCCATCTTGGCCAGGCTGGTCTTGAACTCCTAACCTTGTGATCCTCCAAAGAGCTGGGATCACAGGTGTGAGCCACCGCGCCCGGCAGAGCAATAATTAACTTTAGGTGATAGGACAACTGTCCTTTTTTTCTTCTATTCATTTTTCCGTTGTCCAAGTTTCTGGTGAACACCCTGCAGAGTAGCGGAGACCACAGGCTTGCACCACCACACTGAGTGAATTTTTTGATTTTTTGTATAGATGAGGTCTCACTTTCTTGCCTAAATTAGTCTTGAACTCCTGGGCTCGAGCGATCCTCCCACCTCAGCCTCCCAAGTGCTGGGATCACAGGAATGAGTCACTAGGCCCAGCTGAATAAAAACACACACTTTTTTTTTTTTAAAGTCCCATCCAAACTCTACTACCACTTAACACAAACAAACGAGCCTGGGCCCATATGTACAGAGCTCCCCACACTTTTTTTTTTTTTTTTTGCGATGCAAGTCTCACTCTGTCCCCCAGGCTGAAGTGCAGTGGCACAATCTCGGCTCACTGCAACCTCCACCTTCTGGGTTCAAGCAATTCTCCTGCCTCAGCCTCCCAAGTAGCTGAGACTATAGTCGTGCACCACCACACCTGGCTAATTTTTGTATTTTCAGTAGAGATGGGTTTCACCATGTTGGCCAGGCTGGTCTCAAACTCCTGATCTTGTGATCCACCCGCCTCGTCCTCCCAAAATGCTGGGATTGCAGGCACAAGCCACTGCACCCGGTCTGGGCTCCCCATTTTAAAAATGAAACGCTCTGAACAACTAGGTGGGCTCATACTGTAACACAACTAGAGGAAAACAGATCCACATAACTTCGACGATAGAGGGGTTAAAAAACAAAAAGCACAGTGATCGAGAGAAAATTTAAGGAGCACCGTGTAAGAAACGACAAATCTAAAATAAAAAAATTAGCCAGGCATGGCACATGCCTGTGGTCCCAGCTACTATGGAGGCTGAGGCAGGAGGACCCCTTGAGCTCGGAAAGTCAAGGCGCAGTGAGCCGAGATCACACCACTGCACTGCAGCCTGAGTGAGAGTGTGACCCTGTCTCAAAAAAAAAAGAGAAAGAAACTGCAAAACTAATAAGGCCACCAAAGAATAAGAAAGACCAGCTGGTGAGCATGTTTAAGGACTCCCACCGCATCAGGCACAAGAAGGGGAGGTCCCAGTGAAAAATAAAGGGGGTACGGCAATGCCAGCAGAATCACCAACAGAATCTGGGCCCCAACACTTCCTTCCAGCACTCCTCATCGTTCCACTTACGCCCCGTGCCTGCTCTTCCAAATGCTGGGCCAACTGCCTCTCAAAGTCTCACCTCCGCCTTCACCTCAACCACCTGTTCATGGTTACTCCACAGACCTACAGTATTCAATGTGGGAGCAACGTGCCACGCAAGGCTACTCAGAACTCGAAAAGTAGCTTGTCTAAGCTGGGACGTGCTACAGATGTGAAATACACACAGTGTTCTGAAGACTTCATACCAAAAACCAACAATAAACAATATCTCAATAATAGTTTTTACTGGCTGGGTACAGTGGCTCATGCCTGTAAAACCAACATTTTGGGAGGCCAAGGTGGGCAGATCACTGGAGGTCAGGAGTTTGAGACCAGCCTGGCCAACATGGTCTCGACAACAAAATACAAAAATCAGCCAGGTGTAGTGGTACATGCCTGTAATCCCAGGAACTCAGGGGGCTGAGACAGGACAATGGCTTGAACCTGGGAGGTGGAGGTTGCAGTTAGCCAAGACTGCACCACTGCACTCAAGCCTGTACAGCAGAGCAAGACTCCATCTCAAAAACATAAATAAATAAATAGTTTTTACCAATACCATGTTGAAATTATTAAACACTGTATATACTGGCTTCAGAAATATATTACCAAAGTTAATTTCACCCATTTGTTTTTCATTTTTCAATGTGGGTACTAAAAAGTTCAAAATTAGATTTGTGGCCCCCCTTGCGAGACTTTTACTAAAAACCGCATCACCACCAAAATGTCTTCCACACATCCCAGCCTGTGACCACATCCACACATGTTCCAGCTCACTCCCACAACCACTGCAATTCTCGTTAAACTCAACCAACCCTCTACGTACTCTGCAGCTACTCTGTTTGCTTATTTTTGAGACAGGGTCTCATTCTGACAGTCACGTTGAAGTGCAATGGCACAATCACTGCTCACTGTAACCCCCACCACCTATACCCAGGCTCAAGAAATCCTTCCACCTCAGCTTCCCGAGTAGCTGGGACCACAGGTGCCTGCCACCAACTCTGGCTTTTTTTTTTGAGACAAAGTCTCATGTTGTTGCCCAGGCTGGAGTGCAGTGGCGCAATCTTGACTCACTGTAAGCTCTACCTCCCGAGTTCAAGTGATTCTCCTGCCTCGGCCTCCCAAGTAGCTGGGACTACAGGCATGTGCCACCATGCCCAGCTGATTGCTTTTATATTTTTAGCAGAGATGGGGTTTTACCATGTTGGCCAGACTAGTCTTGAACTCTTGGCCTCAAGTGATCCGCCCACCTTGGCCTTCCAAAGTGCTAGGATTACAGCCATAAGCCACCGTGCCTGGCCCACCCCAGGCTAGTTTTTGTATTTTTTGCAAAGACACAGTTTCACCATGTTGCCCAGCTGCTCTCGAACTCCTGAGTTCAAGCAATCTGCCTCCGCCTCCCTCAGCCTCTCAAAGTGCTAGGATTACAGGTGTGAGCCACCATGCCCAGTGAGAATTTCTAGACATTAACAAATATACAATGGAAAAAGGAAACTAAGAAAACAACTCCATTAATAATAGCAGCAAAAACAATAAAACACACAGGAATTAACTAAACAGGTGGAAAGACTTATACAATGAAAACTACAAAAAACTTCTGAAAGAAATTTTTAAAAGATATAAATAAGTGGGAAAGTATCATGTTTCTATGAATTGGAAGACAATATTCAGATATTAACAACATTCAAATACCACCCAAAATCAGTCTCCCCAAAGCAATCTATGCATTCAATAAAATTCTTATCAAACTCCCAACCACTTTTTTTGCAGGACTAGAAACAAATCTATCCAAAACTTCACATGGAATCTCAAGGTATGCAAAATGGCCAAAGCAATCTTAAAAGAAAAAGAAAAAAAGGCTGGAGAACACATACCTCCTGATTCTAAAACTTACTACAAAGCTACAGTAACAAAAACAGTATAGCACTGCTATAAAGACAAACATATACACCAACCATATAGAATAAGGAGCCCAGAAATAAACCCTCACACATATGGTCAAATGACATTCAACAAGGATTCCAAAACTATTCAATGGGGAAAGGACAGTCTTTTCAACAAATGGTGCTGGGAAAACTGGATATCCACATAAAAAGGGAGAAGCTAGACCTTTACTGCTTATGGTACGAATGTGTCCCTCTAAAATTCACATTGAAACCTAATGCCCATTGTGGTGGTATTAGGAGGTGGAACCTTTAAGAGATGATTGGATCATGTGGACTCTACCCTCATAAATAAAATTAGTGCCCTGAGAAGAGAGGCTTAGGGAGCCTGTTTTCCTCTTCCACCATGTGGGGACACATAGAAGGCACCAGCTTTGAAAAGGACAGCAAGCCCTTACGAGACACCAAAACTGCTGGCACCTTGATCTTGGACTTGCCAGCCCCAAGAACTGTGGCCAATTTGTTATTTATAAGCTATCCAGCCTAAGGTATTTTGCTTTAGCAGCCCAAACAAACTGAGACACTTACTGAACACCACATACAAAATTTAACTCAAAATGAATCAAATACCTAAATATAAGAGGTAAAAATATATAACTCTCAGAACAACAAATAGGACAAAAGCTTCATGACACTGGGTTTGGCAACGATTTTCGGATATTTGGATATGACAACAAAGACATAGATAACAAAAAAAAAAGACACACAAATGTGGCTCTGCACAAATTTTTAACTTTACTACATCAAAAGGCACTAACAACAAAGTGAAAAGGCCACCTAAGGAACATGAAAATGTATTTGCAAATCATCTATCTGATAGCAGATTAGTATCTAGAATACATAGATAAGTCATAAAACTTAGCAAGAAAGCAACTGGATTAGAGGGTGGGCAAAGGACTTAAGGAAATGGGCAAGAAGAACCAACGTCTCTCCAAAGGAGGAATACAAATCGTCAACAAGCACATGAAAAAGTGTGGCTCGGCACCACCAGGCACTAGGGAAACGCAAATCCAAACAGTAATGAGATGCCACCTCACACCCGTTAGGATGGTTACTGTTGAAAAAAAGAAACGAGTACTGACAAGGATGCAGGGAAGCTGAACCCTTGTGCCCTGATGGGTTGCAGCGTGAAGATGGTAGAGCTGCTGAGGAAAACAGCACAGTAAGTCTTTAAAAACTCAAAAGTAGAATTACCATAGGACCAGCAATTCCACCTCTGGGTATATACACAAAAGAAAGCAGAATCTCAAAGAGATATCTGTACCTATATATTCATAGCAGCATTGTTCACAGTAGTTAAAACACAGAAGCAACTTGTGTCCACTGATACATGAATAGATAAGCTAAATGCAATATACGTATGTACAATGAAGTATGATTCAGCCTTAAAAAGGAGGAAATTCTGATCCAAGCTGCAACATGGATGAACATTGAGGACATTATACTAATTGAAATAAGCCAGACATGAAAAAAGAAAAATACTGCATGATACCATTTACATAGAATAGTCAAAACCACAGAGACAAAAAGTAGAATGATAGTTGCCAAAAGCTGAAGGAGAAATGAGGAATTACAGCTCAATGGGTATAGAGGTTCTCTTATGAGAAGCAAAAGAGAAAACAAGTGAAAATACAGTATAAACAAATATGGAACGATATTTCCATGTAATCCTAAGGATTGTAGGAGTCAATCCAAATTTCATTAACACTGCTGGTTGGCTCGTAGGCCAAACTGCACATGCCGCCTGCTTTTGTAAATAAAGTTTCATTGGAAAAGAGTTATAGAGATTGGTGGTGGTGACACTTGAACAGCAACATGGATGTGCTTACTATCCCTAAACTGTACAATCAAAAATCACTGAGGTGGCAAACCATAGGTACAATTAAAAATCACTGAGGGGCAAACTTCATGTTATGTTGTATTTTACCACAATATTTTGTTTTAAGCTAGGTATGTTCCAGGAAGCCTAGGCTATAAAGTGATACAGCTATTTCAAACCCCAGGCACTCTCACCCACTGTCCTTCCTTGACAGTAAATTGTAGGCCTGGGGGTGGTGCTTGTTTGGGAAACAAGCGGGGAACTGCTTGCTTCCTAAACACACCAAATTCAAAAAGTAAACTATCTATTATAGAATATAGTTTCCAGGCTGGGCACAGTGGCTCCTGCCCGTAATCCCAACACTTTGGGAGGCCGAAGCGGACAGACTGCTTGAGCACAGGAGTTCAAGACCAGCCTGGGCAACACAGCCAAACCCTGACTCTATGAAAAATACAAAGAATTAGCCAGGCATGGTGGTATATGCCTGTGGTCCCAGCTACTCTGGAGGCTGAGGTGGGAGGATCGTTTGAGTCTTGAGGTCGACGCTGCAGTGAGTCATGACTGCACCACTGCATTCCAGTCCGGGCAACAGAGCAAGGCCCTGTTTCAAGAAAGAAAAAAAAAAAGAGTATAGTATCCCTGGTTTATACCCCCACAAAAAAATAAAACAAAATAAAATAAACCTAAGTTAGTCATGACTTGGATATGCTTATTACTCATTACTCAGGACTGGTGGCACTGAACAGAGAGGTCGCCCATTCCAGATAGAAAATGTGGCATTTAATATAAACAGTTCAATGGCTCCTGTGAAAATGCTACCCCCTTCTACCTATTGCAGCTCTCTTTCCCCATACCAGTGGAAACACAGTGACTTACCCAGTTGGTTATTTCAGGCCTTTTACACTTATCAGTACAAAGAATGGCTACAAAATGGACTGTGCCCTTCCGTCGCCCTTTATACACAACAGTCTTGCTTCCTCTTCCAATCTCCTCATACAGAATGAAGTTTTCCATCCCTGGGCCGACTTCTCACATACGATAGAATAATGGCATCCCTGGCTCCTAAAAAGTAAACAAAAATGACATTGATAAGTACAAGCTAGTTGCATAATCAGCCTAGGATAATTAGCCAAGAGTACTTTCTACTGAAAAAAAAAATTTCTTTGGGAGGCCGAGGCGGGTGGTTCATGAGGTCAAGAGATCGAGACCATCCTGGTCAACAAGGTGAAACCCCGATCTCTACTAAAAAAAAAAAAAAAAAAAAAATTAGCTGGGCACGGTGGCATACGCCTGTAGTCCCAGCTACTGGGGAGGCTGAGGCAGGAGAACTGCTTGAACCCAGGAGGCGGAGGTTGCGGTGAGCCGAGATCGTGCCATTGCACTCCAGTCTGGGTAACAAGAGCCAAACTCCGTCTCAAAAAAAAAATCTAGCAATTCGATAAATTCGGAAAAGTGACTTACAAATGTTAAATACTAATGTTGATATATTTTGCAGGATGAACAAAGCTAAGGGTCAAATAAATTAAAAATTCCCAGCCAGGTGCAGTGACTCACGCCTGTAATCCCAGAACTTTGGGAGGCGGAGGCGGGGGAATCACCTGAGGTCAGGAGTTTGAGACCAGCCTGGCCAACAAGGTGAAAACCCGTCTCTATTTAAAATACAAAAATTGGCCGGGCGTGGTGGCGCGCGCTGTAGTCCCAGCTACCCGGGAGGCGGAGGCTGTGGCGAGCCGAGATCGCACCACTGCACTCCAACCAGAGCGACGGAGCGAGACTCTGTCTCAAAAATAAATACGTAAACAAGTATTCGCAAAGCAGTATTCAAGCTCCATCAATAAGATCTTTAAAACACAGCGGGCGGTGGCCCGTGGCCCCAGGGTAGTGGACATCCCGGCATTCCCTGCGGTGGTGGACATCCCGGCATTCCGTGCGGTGGTGGACATCCCGGCATTCCCTGCGGTGGTGGACATCCCGGCATTCCATGCGGCGGCCCTCAGCTGTGGCGGCCGCCATTGCAGGGCGGCCATGGCTGCGGGCGACCCTGTGGCCGTGGGCCTCGATGAGGGCCACAGCGTGACCAGAAGCGGGAGCAAGCCGGCCCAGCCACCGCCGACGTGGGCAGCTGAACAAGCACGCCGAGTCCGTGCGGGACGTGACCCCGGAGGGGTCCGGCTTTGCTCCCCAGGGGCCCGCGCCGCAGAGTTGCTCAGGTTGACCCAGAAAGGGCGGGGGCACATCCGCACCAAGAGCAAGAGAGGAGCTGAGAAGCGTCCTGCCCGTGGGGAAAGCGGCTGCCAAGAGGGACTGCGGCCCCTGCCCTCTGCCGGCAAGACCTTCGCCGAAAGGAAGTGAAAGTGACAGCTAGTTCCAACACCAGTCGCGGCCTCAGCCTCAGCGGGCGAATGAGACTTTACCCAGAGCGTCTCCACGGCTTTCTTACTGTCTCGGCGACAGCGGAAACCTGGCACAATGGGAATCAACGTCTGCACGATGGGACAATATGCGTGAGGCAGGGAACCTAAGGCTGTGTCACAGGGACTTCCTGCAGCTAAGTAGAAAGGAAAACCCTAACTTTCCATGCCTGGGTAACAAAAAAGGCCAGCGGCCATTCCGTCTGCAAACGCCCCACTTTATCGCCGCCTGCAACCAATCAGACTGATTGGGGCGGAGTCTTGGCTGCAACTTTGTAACTTCACCTTAGCATCTGACTGGGTGCAGACAATGGAATTCTGAAATCCATCCCGCAGGCCACTACTTGTACTTTCGTTTTCAACAAGTCCCTGCTTTTGTTCTGTTGTTGCTTCATTCTTTCTTTGCTTTGCTGGGCATTTTGTCCAGTTCTTTGTTCAAAAGGCCAAGAACCTGCACAACTTGCACTCAAGACCCTCTACCGGTCTTGACGGGCATGCCCCACCTAAACCTTATAAATTATGAGAAGCAAAAGAGAAACATGCCCCACCTAAACCTTATAAATTATGAGAAGCAAAAGAGAAACATATGCCCCACCTAAACCTTATAAATTATGAGAAGCAAAAGAGAAACATGCCCCACCTAAACCTTATAAATTATGAGAAGCAAAAGAGAAAAAAGTGAAAACACAGTATAAAAAAATATGGAATATTTCCATGTACTCCCTAGAGACTGTAGGAGTCCATCCAAATATCATTAATACTACTGGCTGGCTCCTAGGCCAAATTGCATGCTGCCTGCTGTTATAAATAAAGTTTAATTGGGAACATAGCCACACCCATTCATTCATATATTGCTTATGGTTCCTTTCAGACGGCTATATATTGCCTATGACAGAGTTGAGTAGTTACGACAGAGACTCTACGGTCTGCACAAAAATATTTGCTATTTGTCCCTTTATTTAAAAAGTTTGCCAATGCCTGCTCTAAATCAAGATGTTGGTTGTTTTGGGTTTTTTTTTTTTTTAACCAAGCACTTCATCCTTCACCTAAGGTATAAGAAGTTAAGAGTTCGTTTTCTTGGCCAACATAACCCTTTAATTTTCATAAGTAAATAAGGACTTGATGTAATCTTTTATCAAACTAGATCTTATTTAGAATTTCAGTTAAGGTAGAATTAGAGTCATAATATGAAAATTTAATCAATCAATCTTTCAGGCTAAGTGTGGCGGCTCACACCTGTAATCCCAGCACTTTGGGAGGCCAAGGCAAACTGATCACCTGAGGTCAGGAGTTTGAGACCAGCCTAACCAATATGACAAAACCCCATCTCTACTAAAAATACAAAAATTAGCCAGGTGTAGTGGCACAGGCTTGTAATCCCAGCTACTCAGGAGGCTGAGGTAGGAGAATCACTTAAACCTGGGAGGTGGATGTTGCAGTGAGCTGAGATTATGCCACTGCACTCCAGCCTAGGAGACAGAGCACCACTCAAAAAAAAAAAAAAATCAATCTTTCGTAACCTGGCATCTCTTTGGAAAGGTATGTTAGACTATATTAAACTTTGCAAAACCTCACAACATATCTGTATATCAAAACAACACACTGGCTGGGCACTCTGTGATTACTGGCTCACACCTGTAATCTCACCCCTTTGGGAGGCCGAAGCAGAAGTATTGCTTGAGCCCAGGAGACTGAGGCTACAGTGAGCTACAACTGCGCCACCGGACTCCAGCCTGAGCAGCAGAGTGAGACCCTCTCTCAGGGAAAAAAAAAAAAAAAAAAAATTCAAAAAGCACATTGGGCTGGACTCAGTGGCTCACGCCTGTAATTCTACCGATTTGGGAGGCCAAAGAGTGAAGTTCACTTGAGGCCAGGAGTTTGAGACCAGCCTGAGAAACAAACACCATCTCTACAAAATATTTTTAAAAATTTTTAAATTAGCCAGCAGTGGCGGCCTCTGCATGTAGTCCCAGCTACTTGGGGGACTGAGGCAGGAGGATAGTTTGAACCCAGAAGGCAGAGGTTGTAGTGAGCCAAGATCTCACCACTGCACGCTAACCCAGGCAACAAAGAGCCTGTCTCAAAAAAACACACACAAAAAAAACCCTGTACACCTCAAATACATACAACTATTGGTAAACCATATCTCAATATGGGTATATTCCAAAAAGAATTAAAAGCAGGGTCTCAAAGAGACATTTGTACCCCATATAGTCACAGCAGCATTATTCACAATAGTTAAAACATGGAAGCAACTTGTGTCCACTGATATATGAATAAGCAAAACGTAATATATTTTGCTTTTGCAAAAATAAAGTTTTAGAGATTGCTGCACAGCAATGTAACTGTTCTTAACCTCTACTAAACTTGTACCCTTAAAAAGGGGTAAGATGGTCAATTTTATTTGTATTTTATAATTAAACATTTTTAAAGACTTCAAAAAATTAAAATTAAAAAATGGTTAATATATTGGCTGGACGTGGTGGCTCATGCCTGTGATCCCAGCACTTTGGGAGGCCAAGACAGTGGATCACCTGAGGTAACAAGTTTGGGACCAGGCTGCCCAACATGGTGAAACCCCATCTCTACTAAAAATACAGAAAATTAGCTGGGTGTGGTGGTGCGTGCCTGTAGTCCCAGCTACTCGGGAGGCTGAGGCAGGAGAGTCGCTTGAACCTGGAAAGCAGAGGTTGCAGTGAGCCGAGATTGCGCCACTGCACTCCAGCCTGGGCAACAAGAGTGAAATTCCGTCTCGGAAAAAAAAAAAAAAATTAAGAAAACTCATTTTACAGATGAAAATATTTCCAAGATTGCTCTATCAAGGGAGAGAAAAATTTTTTCTACAAAATATTACAGGGGTAAACATTTTAGGTTTTACAGACTTTACGGTTTCTGTCACAGCTACTCAGCTTTGCTCTTGAACTAGAAAAGCAACCAGAGACAGTAAGCAAATGGATAGGTATGGCTGAGTTCCATTGACACTTCTATTTATGAGCAGGGTGAGGTAGCTCATGCCTATAATCCCAGCACTTTGGGAGGCCAGGCGGGTAGGTACTTGAAGTCAGGAGTTCAATACCAGCCTGGCCAATCTGGCGAAACCCTATCTCTATTAAAATACAGAAATTAGCCAGGCATGGTGATGGGCGCCCATAATCCCAGCTACTCCAGAGGCTGAGGCAAGAAAATGGCTTAAACCCGGGAGGCGGAGGTTGCCGTGAACTGAGATCCTACCATTGCACTCTAGCCTGGGCAACAGGAGCAAAACTGTTGCCTCAGAAAAATAAAAAATAATAATGATGATGACTGATTAATTAAAACAAAAAGGCACAGCTTAGTTTTCTTTGTTTTTTGAGACAGAGTTTTGCTCTTGTTGCCCAAGCTAGAGTGCAATGGTGCGATCTCAGTTCACCGCAACCTCCACCTTCTGGGTTCAAGCAATTCTCCTGTCTCAGCCTCCCCAGTAGCTAGGATTACAGGCATGAGCCTCCTCACCCGGCTAATTCTGTATTTTTAGTAGAGATGGTGTTTCTCCATGTTGGTCACGCTGGTCTTAAAACTCCTCAGGTGATCTGCCCACCTTGGCCTCCCAAAGTGCTGGGATTACAGGCATGAGCCACCGCACCCAGCCAGTATCTATTTCTTTTAATGACAGTTTCCCTAAGACCTTTTAACATTCCTCTTCATTCTAAAACCTATGCTTTAAAAAGAACCAATCCTGGCCTAGCGCAATGCCTAGTGTCTGTAATCCCAACACTCTTGGAGGCAGAGGCAGGATTGTTTGAGACCAAGAGTTCAAGACCAGCCTGGGCAACATGGTAAGATCCTGACTCTACACAAATTAAAAAATAGCCTGGTGTGGTGGTGCATGCCTGTAGTCCCAGCTATGTGCTATGTATTGTAACCAAAATAAGATTAAACTGACAGTATGTTTAAATGGGAAGATGTTAAACCAGAGAAAAGATCATCAGAAACCTTATTCACCAATTGTCTACATTAGAATATATCAGAATAAGTTGATAAGTTACCATATGGTCTGTATAACTGATTTCTTGAAAATAAAGTTTTAGGCTACAGGGGAAAAAATAAGTAAAATCTTACATATATATATTTTTTTAAGGGAGGCTAGGTCTTGAACCCCTAGGCTCAAGTGATCCTGCTACCTTGGCCTCTCAAATTTCTGGGATTACAGGCTCAAGCCACCGCCCAGCCAATCTTGAAATACTGAATTTGATTTAGGACAAATTCATTTCCTTAACCTTTATTTTAGTTACATCTGACCATTGAGTAACATCTGAACGATTTCATTCTGAAATTAACAAAACATATTAGTTATAAATCTGCTTAGATGGGGTGGTTTTACTTTCAAGCATTTCTCTCCTCTGGGACTCAATTTCCTTAGAGTAAAATAAGAATTGGATCAAATGATTTTCTACTTTTTTTTTTTTTAGACAGGCTGGAGTGCAGGGGCAAGATCTAGGCTCACTGCAAACTCCACCTCCGGGGTTTAAACGATTCTCTTGCCTCACCCTCTGCCTCTGCCTCTGGCACGCCACCATGCTAGGCTAACTTTCTGCATTTTTAGGAGATGCGGGGTTTCACTATGTTGTCCAGGCTAATCTCGAACTCCTGGCCTCTAGTGATCCGCCCACCTCAGCCATGCAAAGTTCTGGGATTACAGATGTGAGCCACCACACCTGGCATTATCTTTCAATAACATTAATAGTAGAAATTCCATGAGTTTAAGATTGTTTCTCAGTCCAAAGTCGTTCCCCATTACAGACCTCCTAATATTCATTTTTAAATCCGTAACTTCTTAATTGTAAAATAAAACACAAATACAGAAAACGCCACAAATAAATATATAGTTTAATGAATAAAGAAGGACACACTCCTAACCACCACCCAGGGTCAGGAAGTGGCATTTTGCCAGCCACACAAGAAGCCCTCGGTGAGCGTATCGCTATCACCACCCCTCCTGATCCCCCAAAGTAACCACTCCCTGACTTTCGTAGTCATCACTTCCCTACGTTTCTTCCTGGTTTTCTCACTCGAGGGTGACCTCCCAGAAACCAGTTTAGTCTCTCTCAATTCACAAGTTCACCTAAGACGCATCTGAGAAGCCAGAAGGCAGAGCAAATCACACACGCGTGCCAATGAGGCAGGTCCCACATTCAAGGAATTCGGAGAGCGACCAGGTGATGAGAGCGCACAGGCGCCACCTTCAGCACAACCATGACCCCCGCAGCAGGAGCAAGGGCATCACCCGGGGCTTCACAGACATGCAAGTTCGCGGCCCCGCGCCAGACTAACAGACTCAAACGCTGAGTGGTAGGGCCCGGCCTTCCCCGTTACTACCCGCCCTGGGGTGGCAGGGAAGCGCTCCAGTCTGCGAGCCGCCGGCCACATCAGCCTTCCTTCCCCTGGGCTCCAACCGACGGCGCGCGTTCGCTAAGACCCCACAGGTGCTCCTCCTCGCCGCACTTCACCGACTCAGGGTCGCCACGGAATCGCTCGCCCCCCGCCCCCAGGCAGCTGGCGGCGGGCGACTCAGCGGCCTCGCCACGTCCATGGTCCTCCGCCCGCGAGGCCGGCAGGGAGCCCGGGAAGCGCTGCTGGGCGGTGAAGACGCCACATCCGTCCGGCGCATCTCCAGAGCCGAAAAACACGAGCACCCTCGCTCCGCGCTGCAGCCAGGTCCGAGAAGGAGCGAGCCGTGTGCCCTTAACCGAAGCCCGGATAAAAACGGGCGGTTTTTCCTTTAACATGAGCGTAAAGTGGGGCCCGCAGGCAGAAGCCAACGTGGGGGAGCGCAGGGGCACGGGGTCCACGCGCAAGAGAGAGCACCCCTCAGGCCTGCTCGCTCTTCTGCCCCCGCCTAGACAGAGACACAAACCCAACCCGTGCCGACTAAAACCGCCACCGCCACGCACCTGGCAGCCAAGTACCGCGAAGCCTCAGCCCCCTGGACTGCTCCCGCGGCTACGCGTGTCGCGGCCTCCGCCTTAGGACAGGTCCACAGGCCCAACGATGGGGGGGAGCTCAATGAAGCAAAGCGGGACGCGCGGAGGCACCTACCAGACTGACGGAGGCGGCACCCCTCCAGGTTTGGATTTGTCCACACCGTTTCCAGGGCAGCAGGCAGGACGCCGGAAGCAGCTCAGGAAGCTGAGTGGCTGAGCGGTTTCCGTTCCTGTGGGCGGGGCCGGAAGTGAGCGACCACGAGGGCAGCTTCCTCCACCCAAAGGGCATCGCGCGGGCCTTTGGACGAGCCCACAGGCCCGAGATCGGGGCAGGAAGTGATGGATTAACAGTCCATCCACTGTTAGGTCTTGAGCCACCACCCCTCCATGTTTGGATTTGCTCCTTCTATCTCCATGGCAGCACGCAGAACGCAGGGAAAACGCAAAGCGCTGATTGGCTGAGAGACTCCGTTCCTATTGGCTAGAGCCCGAAATGGGAGCTCGTGAGGGACCATTCTTCAATCCTAAGTGGGAGCGGAGGCTGGAGTGTTGGGCCATTAGAGCTGACCTTCCTGGGTAGCGCTGGGGGCTGTGGAGCCCTGGGACCTCCTCATTTCTTCCCTCCTCGTCCCCTCAGCCCTTCTGTTTCCTTCCATTTTTTTCTTTCTGGCGTCTTTGGGAGTTCAGGTGGACGTGATGGCATAGTCTGGATAACCAGTGGCTCAGAAGCAGGGGCCCGTGTTCCTAACCCTTTAGAAAAGAGAAAGCTCTGAACTTCCTTCCTTCTTGGGGATGGAGGAAACAGATCAGACACTCCATCCCAAGTTGATTGTGTAAACCAAAACTAAAAGTACCAACTGAATGCATCCCTCTTCTATGCCAAAGGCATGCCAAAGTTAACCTGAAAACTAGTTCAGGCCATGAGGGGAAAGTGGGATGGGACAGGCCTCATTATACCCTCCTCCCGTTGGAATTCAGGCACAACCGATCAGTGTTAACAATTAAAACAGAGCTCATGAGTGTAATCCCAACACTTTGGGAGGCCAAGGGGGACGGATGACCTGAGGTCGGGAGTTCCACACCAGCCTGACCAACATGGAGAAACCCCATCTCTACAAAAAAATACAAAAAAATTAGCTGGGCATGGTGGCACATACCTGAAATCCCAGCTACTCAGGAGGTTGAGGCAGGAGAATTGCTTGAACCCGAAGGCAGAGGTTGTGGTGACCTGAGATCACGCCATTGCACTCCAGCCTGGGCAACAAGAGTGAAACCCCATCTCAAAACACACACACACACACACACACACACAGATTTCTGGCCCCACCTACAAAACTACTGATTCTGTATCTCAATGGGGCCTAAAATTGTGCGCTTCTGTTACCAAGTAATATCAATGTTGCAAGGTGAGCACCACACTTTTCAAACAACCATTTGGGAAGAAGAAAAGCTCCTTTTTAAGTTTCCTTTCTTGTTAAAGAATAAGTATGCTGATAACTTTGTGAAGCCCTCTCCTATATAGCTGTTAGACATGCCATGCTTACAGGCATGTAGTACATCCTGTGTCCTTGTACTTTAACCAAGATATCTGTACAGGATGTGCTCAGAGGCATGTCCCAGCTCTTCATTGCTTTTACCTGTTTAGAAAAGTTTTAAGGTGTCATTGGGAGGCCAAGGTGGGTGGATCACGAGGTCAAGAGATCGAGTCCATCCTGGTCAACATGGTGAAACCCCGTCTCTACTAAAAATACAAAAAATTAGCTGGGCACGGTGGCGTGTGCCTGTAATCCCAGCTACTCAGGAGGCTGAGGCGGGAGAATTGCCTGAACCCAGGAGGCAGAGGTTGCGGTGAGCCAAGATCGCGCCATTGCACTCCAGCCTGGGAGTGAAACTCCGTGTCAAAAAAAAAAAAAGAAAAAACAGAAAAGTTTTAAGTTGTTAGCCAATCGGGTTTTAGTTTAGATTGTGAGGTCTGGCTCCAGCCAATGGAGATCAGACACAGAAGTAAGGACGGCCCCAAACGCGCAAGGGATACATTTGTCTGTTTTTCCTTTGTTCATCGTACTCTTGTGGCACTACGGCTGGTGAGGGTGCCCTTCCTGCAGTCCAGGAAGTAAAAATTGCGTTGCTGAAAGATCCTTTGTCTCAGGGCTAGTTTTTTCTTTGCGGCACCGAGCATCTATTTCCGACAAACTATCTAGAAAAACTGTTTTGATCTCAGGTAAATCAAATCTCCTTTTACTTCTAATCCTTCCTGCCTTCTCAAGAATCTTGCAGTTATCCATTATTGTCAGTTCTATGTATTTAACAGCTTTTGTGTGGAAAACATTTCCTCATGGACTACCTCCAAATTAATGAAGATTAAAACGCGAAAGTATTTTGTTTATTCTGAGTTTTGATAACCTAAAAGTTAATGTCAGAGGCAATATCAAATCCTAGGTCTTCTTAGCCTAAGTTCCTCAGATGCTTCTGTCAGAGGCATGCGAATCAGAGTGACTCCATCTTGGATACGGGCTGGGTAAAATAAGACTGAGACCTACTGAGTTGCATTCCCAGGAAGTTAGGCATTCTTAGTCACCGGATGAGACAGGAGGTCAGCACGGCTACAGGTCACAAAGACCTTGCTGATAAAAGTTTGCAGTAAAGAAGTCGGACAAAACCCACCAAAACCAAGATGGTGACGAAAGTGACCCCTGATCATCCTCACTGCTCATTATATGCTAATTAAATGCATTAGTATGATAAAAGACACTCCCACTAGTGCCATGACAGTTTACAAATGCCCTGGCAACATCAGGAATTTACCCTAGATGGTCTAGAAGTGGGAGGAATTCTCAGTTCTGGGAATTGCCCACTCCTTTCATGGAAAACTCATAAATAATCCACCCCTTGTTTGGCATATAATCAAGAAATAGGCCAGGCATGGTGGCTCATGCCTGTAATCCCAGCATTTTGGGAAGCCAAGGTGGGCAGATCACTTCAGATCAGGAGTTCAAGACCAGCCTGGCCAACATGGTGAAACCCTGTCTCTACTAAGAATAGAAAAATTAGCCGGGCACCGTGGCATGCACCTGTAATCACAGCTACTCAGAAGGCTGAGGTGGGACAACTGCTTGAACCTGGATGGGGTATGAGGGGGGCAGAGGTTGCAGTGAGCTGAGATGACACCACTGCACTCCAGCCTGGGTGACAGAGTGAGACTCTGCCTCAAACAAAAAAGAAAAAAAAGAAAGAACTATAACAATTATCAGTCCAGGAGCCAAAGCTGCTGCTCTGTCTATGGAGTAGCCATTCTTTTATTCCTTTACTTTCTTCATAAGCTTGCTTTCTCTTTATGGATTCACCTCAAATTCTTTCTTGCTTGAGATCCAAGAACCCTCTTTTGGGATGTGGATCAGGACCCCTTTCTGGCAACACTTCTGGGCAATACATGAACCTGCAAAGACAGTCAGTTTTCGTATGCATGCTCATTTTTCCTGGCTGGGGGGGTCTGTGGGTTTGGTTAGATTCTCTAAGGGGCCAATGACTCAGAAAAGCTTAAGGGCTCCTGCTGGAGATAATTTTAAGACAGTATCACAAAAGGCAAACTAGAGAAAGCATGGACCCTACTCAGTAACGACTACAGGTCCAAAGATTAGACCTTGAGAGACATTAGTTCAATTTCAAAAAGCATAAAAGAGTTGAGTGCTGTTTAGATTCTTAAGTAGTACTGAGAGCTGAAATGCCACGTTTTGAATTTTGCTTAAATTCCCAAGTGCTTTAGAATGACCTTTGCTTTCATCTCAATTTTAGATGTTCACTCTCATTATAATTGCTAAGAGTGAATCTGACATGGAGAATATCAATACTGAGTTATTCAGGCAAATTCTTCCTCTCAGAAACAACTAACGTCTCGTCTTCCTCACTTCTAGATGATCATAAAGAAACTCTTCCTGGGTCCAGTGGCTCACACCTGTAATCCCAGCACTTTGGGAGGCTGAGGTGAAAGGATCACCTAAGCCTAGGGAATTAAGGCTGCAGTGAGCTATGATCGCACCACTGCACTCCAGTCAGGGTGACAGAGTGAGACCCCATCTCAAAAAAAGAAAAAACTCTTCATTCAAGCACATAGCTACTTCCTTTTTTAAGGCCAAGCACGGTGGCTCATGCCTGTAATCCCAGCACTCTGGGAGGCCGAGGCAGGCAGATCACCTGAGGTCGGGAGTTCAAGACTGGCCTGGCCAACGTGGTGAAAGCCCATTTCTACTAAAAATACAAAAATTAGCCAGGCGTGGTGGCACACAGCTGTAATCTCTGCTACTATCACTTGAACCTGGGAAGTAGAGGTTGAAGTGAGCAGAGATCGTGCCACTGCACTCCAGCTTGCTGACAGAGCAAGACTCAGTCTCAAAAAAAAAAAGAAACTCCCTTTCTTAGGCAAAGAATTGCATTAAATATTGTAGGGGAGAAAAAAATATTTTCTTCCTATAAAACGTATATGAATAATAATAATAATGCATTTAAAGTCAGCAAAAAAAAATTCCTTTTTAAACTTCTTTTTTTTTGGAGACGGAGTCTCCCCAGGCTGGAGTGCAATGGTGCAATCTCGGGTCACCACAACCTCTGCCTCCAGGGTTCAAACAATTCTCCTGCCTCAGCCTCCCAAGTAGCTGGGATTACAGGTATCTGCCACCACGCCCAGCTAATTTTTGTATTTTTTAGTAGAGACGGGGTTTTGTCATGTTGACTAGGCTGGTGTTGAACTCCTGACTTCAGGTGATCCACCGCCTTGGCCTCTCAAAGTGCTGGGATTACAGGTGTGAGCCACCGCACCAGGCCTAAATTTATTTTTTAGAGACAGGGTCTCCCTCTGTTGCCTGTGCTGCAGTGCAGAGGCGTCATAATAGCTCACTGTAGCCTCAAACTCCTGGGCTCAAGGGATTCTCCCATATCAGCCACCCTAGTAGCAAGGACTACAGATGCACACTACCATGCTTGGCTAAGTCTGTGTGTGTGTAGATGGGGGGTGTGTGTGTGTGTGTGTATGTGTGTGGAGATGGGGTGTGTGTGTGTGGAGATGGTGTGTGTGGAGATGGGGTGTGTGTGTGTGAAGATGGTTGTGTGTGTG